TAATCATGGTGATGTAAAATCAGAGCAGTAGCAGAGAGACACTTTACTTGCAAGTTGGTCATCACTGGGAACTTCAAAACACATTGTGCATTTTTGATTGTAATAGTGCTAATTCTTGGTTTTGAATGAAGTGTTCCATTTTCAAGGAGTGGGAACATTGGTTCACAAGATTGTTGAGGATCAGATGGAGTTATGTCATGTTCTTAGCCAACTTGAAGTGCCAGATAAAGACTGGTTGTTGTTAAGTGGAACTTTTTAAAAAAGTATAGTGCCCCATCACATTTTCTCCTGCCTCTGCCTTGACCTGCCCGTGGCAGCCCTGCCCACCTTTGTATCACTCCAGTCGTCAGGGTGAAATCTAGATCTCTTCAACTGAGACTCATTGTTCCTAGCTTGGGCACGGGCCTGAGCAGAGAAGTCTGCCTGACAGCCTTTCCAGGAGGCAAGAGTGCTCTCACGTCTCCCCTCGGCCTTTGCTTCTCCAGGATTAACATCCCCACTTCCTCCAATGGATTCTTCCACAGCTTGATCTCAGGGCCCTTTCCTGTCTCTTCTTGGGCCCTCCCCTGGTTACTTGACTAACCCAAACCAGGACCTCCACTTTATCCATGTTCTTCCAAAAATGCGACCCTCACAGCTGAACGTAATCTTCCTGGCTTCTGCAGTCATCTTTCTCTTGTCCTGCAAGGACCTTCTTCTGATGCCTCCCAAGAGACATTCTTGTTTTGGAAGCACAATTAGGGTATAATAATAGACTTGAGGCCCCCGGTCCTTAGGTCTTTTGCACGTGACCCAGGCGCTGTGTCATCCTTGATATTTCCTTCACTCTGTCTTATCCCCAGGGCATAGCACACAGAATTCAGTGCATGCTTGTTCCTTCCCTCCTTCGTTCACTTACATCTCTCTGACTCTTCCTCTACAACATCTCTCCGACTCTTCCTCTACAACATCTCTCCCTCTTGTGCCCTTCCTCTGGGTCAGCCCTGAATCGCCTCTCACCTGGACTGTGGATTCCTCATTGGCCCCCCTGCATCCAGTGTCTCTGGTCCATTCTCCCTACCGTTGTTTAAGCGATAGTCCTCTCACACAGATCTGACCGTGTAACCCTCGTGCTCCAAAAGCTGCCACTGGGCTCCCATGCAGACGTGTTAGGTGGCACAGTCTACTTGCTGTCTCGCAGACCCGCTTACTCCTTGCCCCTCCAGGCAGTTGTACCTAGGATCCTTCACATTTGGCATGCCTCCCCTCCCCCCTGGAACCAAGAGCCCCTTCCTCCAGGCTGCCTTTCCTGATTGCAGCCAGGAGTTACCAAGGTCTAACTCCCCCTCCGCATTAGTTTGCATTTACTTTACGTTAGTTTCTCTTGGTATGGGTTATTCCCCCCTCCCCCCCAGCAGAATATAAGAGTCTTGATGGCGGGCCTTGATGGCAGGCGGTGGTTTCATTTTTGTCTCCACATCCTCAGCCTCCAGCAGAGAACCTGGCGCAGAACAGGCGTGGGAGAAAAGCCTGTCCACGTGGCTCGGTTTGAGCTTGCTCCAGCTTTACGTCCGCATCCCTACTAGGGGAGTTGTTGTTTTTAACCCAAGTGTAGGACTTTATATTTATCCCTGTGAAATTCTCTTTTTTTTGACACGACCATATTTCCTAGCTTGTTGAGTGAGACCTTCTGGGATCCTGACTGTGTTCTTCCAACATCGTAATTATCCTTCTCAATCAGCCTACCATATCTCTCTTCATTCTTGCCCTTGATGAAAAGGTTAAACATGTAGGGCCAGAGGCAGATTCCTGTGACATTCAGCTGGAGACTTCCTCCCTCTGAGTCTCTATTAGGTCATGACTTTCTGCCCCCTCATTTGGTCATTTCCAGTTTCACCTAGTTGTCCGTGGCTCACCGTCAACTTTGTCAAGCGTAGTGCTGTCCATATTAGGGGGTGGTTCAAAGTAGACTGGTTGGTTAGGTTTGTCTTGAAATTGCCAAAAATGACAACAAAAAGAAAAATCTGTTCATGTCATAAACTCCATTGGTTAGGATGGAGTGAATGTCCGTGACAGCAGTTTGAAACTGAGATGCCAGTTGTACTTGGAATATATGGAATTGAATCCCCCCCTTTTTTCTTAAGTTCCTTATGAAGAATAATCTGATTTTTTTAGAATAGTGATACAGTACTTTCCTAGTCATTTGATTTTATGATATGATCATAATTAATGATTATTGTAATATAGTGCTGTGATCAGAATTTAACTCGCATGGTAGAGGTTCTCAAACTTATTTGGCTTATTGCTACCTTTTCCAAAAAAAAAAATTACTCAGCGCCCCCCTAGAAATCTACTTTCTTTAACCCTTTAACATTTTTTTTTAAATTTGCATCATTTCAAACTACTACCTCGCCCTGGATCGTTCCAGCACCCTGCAGGGGTGATATTGCCCACTTGGGGAACCTGTGCATTAGAGCAGGGGTGAGGAACCTGCAGTCTCAAGGCCACATGTGGCCTTCTAGGTCCTGGGGTGCAGCCTTTTTTTTTCTTTTTAGGCAACTGGGGTTAAGTGACTTGCCCAGGGTCACACAGCTAGTAAGTGTCAAGTGTTTGGTCTGAGGCCGGATTTGAACTCAGGTCCTCCTGACTTCAGGGCCTGTGCTCTATCCACTGCACCACCTAGCAGCCCCTTGGGTGCGGCCTTTTGACTGAGTCCAAGTTTTACAGAACAAATCCTTTTATGAAGGGAATTTGTTCTGTGAAGTTTGGATTCACTCAAAGGGTCAGACTTGAGGACCTAGAGGGCCACATGTGGCCTTGAGGCATTAGAGCATAATAGAAATTTAATAGGATTTTTAGGAAACCATTGGCTTTCTATAAAATCCTCAATTTTTAAAAATTACGATTGAAGAATATTGCAGAATGACAAGTCGGCCACGATAGGCCAAATGATAAGGATATTTATGTTGAATTAAGACACTCTCTGGTAACATGTGATGGCTTCTCTTTAAGTGCTTAGAAGAAATGAGACGGGAAGGTCGAATGATTAAGATTGATCGAAGATTGACGGGTGCCAATATCATTGATGAGCCTCTACAGCAAGTAAGTGCCCGGAGTGAGCAGAGCAATTTGTACCTCGTGGGCTGGCTGGGTTTCTTGTTGTGGCCGCTAAGTAACGCTCTTATTATTGCTGTGATATCCCTGACTATTTGATAGGCCACAGGCCTGTGTTCAGTCCTTGGGCATAGCTACTGTGTAAGCAAGCGTCAGGTGAGGTCCCTTCTGAGCTGCGATGTGTGAGCCTGCTTGGCTGACTGTTTGCATCTGTGTTGGATGCTGCCAGGAGTGCAAGAGGAATCAATAAGTGAGTGAAAAAGACAGATGCAATGTTTACTGTGTGCAGAAGCACTGTGCCGAGTGTTGGGAATACAAATGGGAAAGGGAGACAGAGTTCAGCCACAGGCCTCCAAGAAAGGCCTTCCAGCAGCGCTTAATCTTCAGTTCAGGAGCCTGGTGAGGCCCAGCTGCGGAGGGGGAGCATGGGGGGCCGTGGTCAAGCTGGGCAGTCTGGACAGTTCAGGGGTAGGGCTAGTGGCAGTGCCCGGGGGTATAGGGGGGCTGCATGAGAGCAGAGAGTAAGGTCCAGATGACTGCCCTCAGAGGGGAAGGATTCAAGTTCGTTATCCAAGGGGCAGGAATGGCCATGTCTGCTCCACAGCTAGGGAGGCTGGAGGATCCCAGATCAGTATTGGGAAGTGCAGCTGAGGGTCTTTGTAGAGCAGGCTGTTTGGTCTTGCCACCTACGGGAGGGAGAGATCAGGGCATTGGGCTCTGTCTGGGAGGGGGACGAAGAAGGGGATCATTGCCGCAAAGGTTGGAAGGGAGGAGAGATCCTGGTGGGGTCTGGGCAGATTGTGAACTTGGAGTAAAGGGAAAGGCCCTCATGGCTTGTTCGGCTCCCCTTTCTCCACACTGCTGGGATTGGGGTTGGTGTGGGAAGGGAGAAGAGGACTTGTGTTGTGCTGAGCAAAGTGCACAGTTATTTTTGGTGATTCAGAGTGTGCCTCTTTTAACGGGTGGACAAATTCAGTAGTCCTGTCTAGGACATAGGGTGAGTCAGAAATACTCTGGCTTTCTCCTTGGATTGTGGGAAGGATAACAAATATGGCAAAAGTATGTTGACTTCCTTCTTTGTTTCTTTGTTTCTTTCCTTCCTTCCTTCCTTCCTTTTTTCTTTCTTTCTTTTTATTTTAAGTTCTGAACTGTCTCCCTCTCTCCCTCCCTCTCCACCCTGCACTAGAGAAGGCCACCATTTCACACAGATGTATGTATGTGTGTGTGCACATACATACATATATACACACATATATATACATACACACAAACACATGTGTGTGTGCGTGTGCATGTGCACACAAAATCATGCTGTCATACTTTTATTTATCAGTTCTTTCTCTGGAGGTGGATAATATCTTCCTTCATAGGTCCCTTGTAGTTGATTTGAATATTTATAATACTTAGAATAGTTTAGTTCACAGTTATTCTTTGAACAATATTGCTGTTACCATATACAACATTCTTTTGGTTTGTTCATTTTGCTCTGCATTATTTCCTGCAGGTCTTTCCATGTTTTTCTAAAGTCTGCCTGCTCATCATTTATTATAGCACAGTGGTTGGTATTCTATCACAATCATATACCACAGCTTGTTCAGCCATTCCCCAGTTGATGGGCATCCCCTCAATTCCCAGTTCTTTGCCCCCACAAAGAGGGCTGCTATAAAGAGTTCAGACCATAGGGGTCCTTTTCCTTTTTCCCCGATCACCTTGGGAAACAAACCTAACAGTGGCATGGCTGTACACGATTTTCTAACTCTTTGGGCATAGTTCCAGCTTGTTTTCCAGTATTGACCTTTTCTAATGCAAACATCTGATGCCATTTAAAACCTTTATGAAATTATAAATTCATTTTTTTAAAAGCGAACATCCTAAAGGTTAACTTCAAGTTATATCATTGTCTGAATGATCCATTGTTGTATATTTCTCCTCGCACATTTTAAGTAGAATTTGTGATTCTCTCTATTTTAGATGACAGTGAAAACCAATGTTTTCATTGTTTGCTTTATACTAAATTTTGCCTATATGACAAATAGTGGCAGAGTTAGTTAGAGTTAAAGAAAGCATCAGTGCGTTAAAATACCGAGCCATGATGCCCCAGTTAGCGGAAGCTCAGGAAGCTGGCAGCTGCCCCTCTGATGGCCCAGGCTTTGCAGGGAGATCACCAGACCAGTGCAGTACCACTGGCCGCAAACTCATTTCTCCTGGGAACCCTCGCTCTTTATCAGAAATTGGTCAGGGAAGGACCTGCTGCCCCCTTTCAGAAGCAGTTTTGAGCTTGGGAGCGGTGGCGGGCTGAGTGACACCCCGGGGAATGAGCATCCTTCAGGCCCATCTGCCAGCACTAGTGTTGTGTCAATAAGACTGACCAGCTGCCACCAACTCCAGGGGGCCTGGGCATTTGGGTTTGGTTTTTGTTTCCTGTGGTTGTTCTTCTCGTCCTAACAGATGTTTTGTGGTTTTTTCCCTAACATTTTCAGGTGATCCAGTTTTCTTTGAGGGATTATGTCCAGTATTGGTATTATACATTAAGCGATGATGAATCTTTTCTCCTTGAAATCAGGCAGACGCTCCAGAATGCGCTCATTCAGTTTTCTACCAGGTGAGGCTGTGGCACTGTGCAGGTCCAGCACAATTTAAGTATGGTACATGTGTGCATAGGAGGTTAACTTTGAAATGCAGGAAAAAGAATTTTCTGACAAGGTAAGTACACAGAGGCAGCTTGGCCGGTGACCAGAGCGTGGGGTCTGGAGTCAGATCTGACCCCCCATCCTTCGCCTGCTTGGTGATCCTGGGCCTCAGTGTCCTCAGCTGTAAAATGGGGATAATGACAGCACCTACCTGCAGGGTTGTTGGTTATGGAGATCAAATGTGGTAGGATTTGTATAGCACTTTGTAAACTTTAGAGCCCTGTACAAAGGCCAGTTACTGTCATGCTAATAATCCTTGTCATTGTCAGTGTGAGGTCAGGCCTAGAGGGGGGTGGAAGGGCACCTCCTGTGTCCTCAGAACAGCCCTGGGTGGCAGGTGTTTTTATTATGTTCTGCATCTTAGGGTCTGGCTGGGCCAGGCCTTCTGCCTCCTCCCGACTTGAGTCGGGCTTTTCAGGATTGTGGAGCTTTTGGGGAGAAAGGAGGTATGACCCAAGGCTCCCAAGAGAAGATGAACCTCGTGTCATTGAGGCATTAAATCTCAGCACTGCAGGAGGCTGTCCTGAACCATGAACCCCAGACTCCTCAAGACCCTTTTGTTGTTCAGTCATGACCCTGTTTGGGGTTTTCTTGGCAAAGATGCTGGAATGGTTTGCCGTTTCCTCCTCCAGCTCATTTTACAGATGGGGAAACTGAGGCGGAGTTCAGTGAGTATCTGAGGCTGGATCCTGACTGCAGGCCCCATGCTCTGTGCACTTTGGTGATCCCTAGCTGCTGGGAAAGCTTGTCCACCTGCCCAAGGTCATGCCAGTAGAAAGTGTCAGAGGCAGGGTGGGCACTCTAGACCTTCCACTCCTGCTCCCTCCCCTCCCCAGGGGCATTCATTGTTGTAAAGTAATTGGGCTTACTGGAGTGAGGCGAGGGCTCCTGTCTCTGCAGCTGGAGAGAAGGGGATGATTTCCTTACTTCCTAGCTGGTGTTCTTTTTTCAGGGCTGGTTCTCTGTTCCAGAAGCTGTATCCTGGGTGGAGTCAGAGTTTGGGGTGTGAGAGGGAGCAGAGAGCTGGCCTTAGCTGCACCCAATGACAAGTCATCCCCAGCTCTCTTAGGCTGGCCCCTGCGCCATCTTGTTTTTCCTTGTTAAAAGCCACAGTAATTTATTATTTACTTTAAAATCTTCTCCTTATACCACCATGGGGAAAAGAGGCCTTGGGAGAATGGAAAGACTCATGGCCTAGTGGAGGGAGGGGGATAAGGCCCGTTCTCATTAAGGATCAAGCCTAGCCTATGACCCAAGCATGTCCAAGGACCCTTGTTTCAGCTGGCGTCGCCGGAATGAAAACTCAGTGGGAACAGAACAACTGGACGCTTGCCACACACTTCCCCAGGCCTGGAGCGTGGTTTCTGGTCAGACCTCTGCCACACGGGAATGCGGTGAACGAATGAGCATTGATTGAGTGACCCCAGCGTTCCAATCAGCGTGTTAGGACCTGAGGATGAATATAGACAAAGTGAGATGGGAGACAGCCCCCTGATGAGGATTCAGCTCAGGCTACCGGTTTCTAAGGGTGCCCCGAGAGGGTTGTTGGCAAGGCCCAGAATTCCTTAGTGGGTATTGTATCGGCTGGCAGTGACCGGGGATTGTGGTCGAACTGTGGTGCTTCAGGTTTGAGATTGGAATGAAATGAAATAGCCGTCTAATAGTTGTGAAAGGAGATTGACTTAGCCTTGGCACGGAAAGGGTATTCAGCAGGGAGAAAGAGAGAGAGACAGACAGACAAACAGACAGACAGACAGGAAGGAAGGATAGACAGAGAGACAGGACAGATAGACAGGAAGGAAGGATAGACAGAGAGAAAGACAGACAGGATAGACAGAGAGATAGACATGAGCAAACAAGGCCTGCCTCTCAAGGAACTTGCGTATTCTAACATGAAGGGGAGTTGGAAACTAGGAAACTCCATTTGCAGGGAGGATGCCTTCAGTGGAGTTGTCTGTGAAGTGGGGGACTGGTTCTAGGCAAGATAAGGCAAAGCTGCCTTGCTAGAGCCCACCCTGCAATGAGCCAGTGAGGAAGATTTGAGGGTGATGTCTGGAGTTCAGGCACCATGGTATTGATGTGGCCAGGAGGAGGCCATGTGGTTCATGTGACTGCAGCTCCCTCCTTGTATTAACGGAAGTACCTCCAGGCAGCACAGCGTGTGTTTTGGGCTGGCGGCAACCACAGCATCGGCCAGATCCGAGGGGTGCTGCGTCCTCCTTGACTAGCCTCTTATACCTCAGGCCCCTGGTTTGCAAAGCCACATCAGCACCTCAAGCCTTTAGCCTCTGCCGTTTAGGGAACAAAACTAGCATCGTTAGCATCGCAGATATTGTTCCTACCATACCTGGGGTGGGAAGGACACAGACAGGGGACGTGGGAAGTTTTAGAGGACCCCAGGGTGCAGAGGTAAATAGTTAGGTTTGCTGGTCCTCGCTCTGAGGATTATGTTGGTTATACCCTGTCATCCAGCTGGTGTGGGCAGTCAGATCCACTGCAGGGTGAGGAGCTGGGAGGGGCCAGGCATACCACCGTTGTGAATTGGGAGTGAGTCCTGAGGGTCCCAGCAAAGCAAGGATTCTGGGTTCCCACTTGAGGAGTGGGGTTGGTGGGTGGGTGGGTGTGTCTTTCCACGAAGGGTAAATTTGAGTGATCAGATCAGCTACAGCTCAGCTGCTCTTAGGGGATCTGGGGTGCCTAGGTTGGGAACGGAGAAGGAAAGAGGTTGGGGAGCCCTCACCTACCATCTTCGAGTTGAGCAGGACTCTCCCCCTTCACCTGCTTCTTAGATGTTCACACACACCTGGCATTGCCGACCATCGGGCACTTTGGGGGTATCCTCAAGTTCCCTGCTCTCTCCTCCCCAGGATTCTTTTCCTCTCTCCTTCAGCAGCTGTGGGGAGGACACAGGTGTCCCCACTGCCTCGGCCTTTCCCTCTCCCCACGTCCCACAGAATGCCATTTATCAAAGAAACAGTGCTGTGAATGATGGGAAGCTTCTGAGGGGAGCCCATGGAAGCCCAATCCGTCAGATAGGTGAAGTAGTCATGGTTAACATTTAGGTAGCATGTTGTTTAAGGTTTGCAAAGTGCTTTACGTGGATGATCACTTTGGGTCCCCAGCAGCCCTGTGAGGTAGGCACCGTTATTGTCCCATTTTGCAGATGAGGAAACAAGCTAAGAGAGTGAGTTAAGTGACTTGCCCAGGGTCATACAGTCAACAACCTTTATCGTGCCATGTGGTGCTGAGGATACAAAGAATGGTGAAGGAAAGGCACTCCTGTGCTAATAGGGGAGACAGACAGGGAAATGGGAGCGAACCGACAGAGGGAAGGCACTAACACGAATGGGGGTTGGGGGAGATTTTAGTGGGGACTTGAAGGAAGGCAGGAGCAGGGGAGGGCGGGGGTTCAGGATGGCCAGAGAAGAGGTCTCATTTGGAGATGGGTTGTCCTGTGCCAGGAGTCCAGTTAAGTGTCTCAGAGAGGATTCGAACTCAGGCCTTCCTGACTCCTAAATCTGGCTCAGTCCCCACTGCACCAGCTGGCCCACAAGTGCTGGACTTCGGCACAAAGATTGTTTTCTCCTACTTTTATTGCCAGTTCAGGACCTTCTTTAAGACCTCCCCTTGGCTCTAGGGGCAGACTTCCTGGCTGGCGGTCAGGATTTCTGGACTCTCCCTTTGTTCTTGCAGACGTTTGTCTTTGCTTTTCATGGCTCTCGAGGCAGCTAGCCCCGCACTGAGGTCGGATATGCTTGTTGAGGTGGTTTTGGCTTAAGGGCTTAATTATGACCTGATTTTTTAATAATTAGAGGTCCAATTAATAACTATACTAATAATAATAAACATTTTTACAGTGCTCGCTGTGTGCCAGCCCGTGTGATAAGCACTTTACAGTTGTGATCTCTTAAGATCCTCACCACAACGCTAGGAGGGAGAGGCTATCGTTATCCTTGACTGACAGATGAGGAAGCTGAGGGAGCTGAGCCTCTGGTGGGCTTCTGAGACCAGACTGGCACTGGGGCCTTCCTGCTTCTGGCTTGGGGCTTTATCCACTGCACTGTCTGGTGCGTGACCTTGAATAGGGGGGCAGCAGGTGGTTTGGGTGGTTTGGGAGCTTTGCGAAGCCCCTGTGCTCTGATGCTCTGGATTTAGGAGTCTCTGATGAGATTGTACTGAATCTTGATTGTTTGTTTTCTGTGCTTAAATTCCCCACACGTTTTGAATGTTCTACTTGACTTGTAATTATTTTTAACAGCTCTCAGGGAGTGTTAATTAGATCCAGATGACCTACCTTGGGATTAGGATGTTCTAAACTTGTTTTTTATTCTGTTAGAGGGAGAATTGTTATTTGATTTAGGAAACTTATATAAGCCCTGCATTTCTAATTGTCTGGGATTGCTTAATTTAATTCAAAAGGAAAGCATTGTCTTCTAGCTTTTGCCATTAATTGGCTGGGCTTTATAAGAAAATTTCATTTTGCTTGATTAACCCAAACTAATACCTTGAACAGAGTAGATACCTAGAAAATATTTGTTGAGTGAGTGAACAAATGAATGAATCAATGAATGAATGCATTTCAACCTTGACTCCATTTTTGACTGACTCCTGTTTGCTCATGGGACTCAGCATTGAGCTGCTGCCTCCTGAAAGCACTTGAATATGAGCTTTCCCAAGTACTAAGGAGAAGTGCAGAGCGATTTTAAGATGCATATTTCATTTCCATTAAGCTGCTGTTCATTTCTTAGACTCTTGTTTCTCACTGTGTGGTTGAAGACCTCATTCCGCTCCCAAGGACAGATTGCCCTTGAAAAGCTCTGACCAGAAGCTGCAGTTTTTATTGATATTTGAGAGAGGATTTCCTTCTTATCACTAGCTCGAACATTTATGGCCTGACTTTGTCACATCCCCCTAGCATGGCACTCTGCCTCCTCCACACAGTCCCCGACTGAGGCACCGCAGGCAGACCCACGTGTTATGGATGCGGTAACAGTCTCAGAGAACAAGTCCCAGGACTAGAAGCCAAGTGCTTGTAGTTAGTAATTAGGCTGAGGAGGAATTCAAGGAGGTGTGGGAGGAAGGCTTGTGAGCCATGACCAAGTGATCGTGTGCCCGACTCCAGCAATGTCAGTGACAGAAACACTCAAGGGCCTACAACCTGGGCGGTTGCTGATGATGGAGAACTGATGATGCCTCTAAGGGAGATGGCCGTCTGCATCATCGGGGCAGACGAGAGGGATGGAGCATGGAAACAGATCCGTTTTTGAACCTGAAGGCAAGAGTTTATTGAGTAGCGGAAGGTGACACAGTTAGACCTGAGCTTTAGGAAAATCATTTCAGTGGCTGAATGGAGGATGGACTCAAGTGGGGAGAGACTTGAGGCCAGCAGACTCCAAAGCAGGCTACTGCGGTAGTCTATGCATGCATGAGGTGCTGAGGACCTGCACCAGGTTGGGGTAGGTGACAGAGGAGAGAAGGCAGCATATTTGAGGGATGTGGTGTAGAGATGAGATCGACAGGCTTTGACAACATCCTAGACATGGGGGGTGAGAGATAGTGAGGAGTCCAGATTGACTCTTAGGTTGTTAGCCTGAGGGACCTGGGAGGATAGTGTTGCCCTCTGGAGTAGTAGGAAGGAAGGAAAGGGGGAGGCTTTAGGGGGAAAGATAATGAGTTCTGTTGTGGGCATAGTGAGTTTAAGATGTCTACTGGACATTCATTCAGTTAAAGATGTCTGAAAGGCAATTGAAGATGTGAGCTTGGAGGTGAGCAGAGAGGTTGGGGCAGGACAGGTAGATTTGAGAATCATCAGCATAGAGATGGTCATTAAGTCCATGGGAGCTGCTGAGCTCACCAAGGAAGTGGTATGGGGGAGAAGAGGAGAGAAGAGAGCCCTGAAGAGCACCTGGAGGGTCTGATCTGGAGCAGAGCAGTTGGAAGGAGAATGAGGAGTGGTCAGATGTGGGAGGGGCGAAAACTTAGAGGCAAGAGAGGAGGAGAGAGAAGGCTACCTACAGAGGTCAAGGGGAAGGAGGCTGGAGAAAAGTCCAAGAGATTGTTAGTGACTTTGGAGAGAAGAGTTTCAGGGGAATGATGAAGTCCAAAGCTGGATTGTGAGGGATTAAACACAGCATTCACCTCCCTAATCTCATCTGTAAATCATCAAGCAGCTTTTACCGTGTCGGCACCTGCCCTCTACTCATGCCTTCACTGTCTTGGGCCTGTGAAGATGAATTCATCCAGGTGGGGAAACTCCCAGTGTGGAACTTTCTTTCATCCATACAGATTGGCACCTCTCCTGCCATTGACCTTGTAGAGAGTTACATAGGTCTTCTTGACTCCCCCTCTACTATGAAACTTAGATGAAGTTACAGGGATGGATAGCTTCCCCCCCCCCCGCCAAAGTACTGTGAACAGAATATAAGATGACTGCATTTTGATGAGTAACATTGGAAGGTTGTTGGATAGACAGACTCTTATAATAAGTTTCTCTGAACAATAACTTGGGCCACATGCTCTGCTGAAAACTGTTCTTATGTCTTAATATGGAAAATACCTTTGGAAGGAGTCTCTGACTTTGTTCTTGAATCATTTCCCTGGTTTTGTGATTGTTGGACGTAGGCCCTTTGAATGGATATGTGAAATGCCCCCTCTTCCCCAATCTCCCCATGGCAGGCATTTGTACGGAGTCAGCAGAAATGGCATTTTTTGGCTAATAATCTCCACTTTTAGTATAACCTTAATGCTTATACATTTTCATTTGGTCATAACTCCCTATGTAGTGAATTGACCTGTGCTTAACATATATTAAGTTGGAGTTATCAACATGGACTTAAATATCAACAAATTAAATAAAATACTAGGGAGTGGAGAACAGATGGTACTTGATTCATGGTTTGGTTTTCTCTCTCCAAAATCTGTTACAATAAACCTCCTTTCAAGGACTATAATAAACTATTTCTAAATAGTATACTTACTTTTATAAAACTGATAAATATGGACACATTTGAAAATCATTTGCATACTGATTACCGAAGAAGCTTCTGCTGGTTTCTGGCTTGGAGGAGGCAGTTCATTATTTTAAAGTTGGTGACCTGTGCTAAGGCTGGAGATTTTGTGAGAGGCCTTCCTTGTTATGTGTGTAAGTTGGGGGATGTTTTATTAGCCATAGGGGAGAAGGGCTTGTAGGTCTTGTTTCGGAGGATTGTTGTAAGAATTAGATAAGATTCGGTGTAGGGCAAGCCTTCTGCAGACCTTATAAACACCATCGAAACATGTGGCCGTGGAATGACCTGCTTCCCTGCTGCCTGATTGGTCCTTTGGGGCTCCCTACCACTATTTTCCTCTCCCTCCCAGCTTTTCCCTTGATGTGTTAATATTTCACATTGATAATGCTTCATTTTTACATTCTAATTGACTATAATAATGCCATGAGCCTTTGCTAGTTTACTCATTTTTACTAATGCTAGCTTCTGGGTAAACTATAAATTGGGTTAACTATAGCTTTTTTTTTTTTTTTTTTTTAAGCAGTGACAGGTAGAGTTCCCTGTCCTCCTTCCAGTAGAGGACGTGGTGATTCCCATGTCTTTTTACATGTGTCTTCTTGCCATGACTTGCTGAGATAAGCCCAGACTTGGAGCCTCCTTGGGCTGGCTCTCTGTACCCTCTGCTGGAATCTGGTCACTCCCATTACTCCTTCCTCCCCCTCCTTCTGCTTAAGAATTCACACTTAAAGAAATGCAGATGGCAGGAGCTGGCGCCATCATTATTTAATTGTTGATTGTCCACTCAGTGGATTATACAGGAACCCTTTGTTGACCTGAGTTTCATAGGATCGTACTGGAAGAGACTTAGCTTCTAGTCCTACTCAGATTTTTCGTATGAGAAAATCAGCCCAAGGTCCAGAGGTAGTAAGAAGCCAAGCCCGAATGCAGAACTGGGTCCCCTGATGTCCAGTTCAGTGCAGTCCCTTTCCATGTGGTGCCCCTTTTCCTGCCGCCCATCCATGTGATTGTCCAGTTATTGGCTTCTCATCATTTATCTGTGTGTGTATCAATAGGTTTTTAATATTAATTAATAGCTTTTAATATTAATAAATTTCTGTTGATTGACTTAATTTAAGCTAAATGTTATTGAGAAAGTGATTCTATTTCATTGTCCTAGAATTCATTGTGGAGACAAATGTAAATTGTTTTTGGAACATGGACTAACTCTGGAGCATCTGTGACAATGCTCCTTTGATTTTGTCTAGCAGACATTTGGCATTTGGCATTTTTTCCCCCTGAGAGGCAATCACAGTACCCCAGGTTTAAGTTTTGCCTCTGACCTTTCCTTGTGTGACCAGACAGGTCATTTGACCTCTGTTAGGTGCCTCCCACGTCATAGAGTTTTTCACACGGATTAAATAAAAAAAAAAAAAGCCCCCCAAAATGCCTGTGACCACTGGTTCTTCCACAAACAAGTGCAAATTCAGAGCAGACTGAAAAGAAAGCTGTCACTTATTTTAGTAGTCCCACACTTTTTTTTTCATTTGATGCCTTGTACTGGAGAAGCCTATATGTTATTTTGTTAGAAGATGTAGTGAAGGAGTTTCGGCCTAGGAACCGGAGCTGGAAGGGTCCTGAGACATTTTCTAATGTCTTCCCACCACCTCCTTTTACAAATGAGGAAAATGAGGCCCAGAGAGAATGGTTGACTTGCTCCTGTAGCTTCTAGAGGACTCATAAGAAATGTGTGAAAATAATAATTGCAGTGGTCACAAACGATAACGAAATAATAGTCTCAGAGAAGCAGCTCCTCGCCCCCGTTGAAGCTCAGAAATAGCTCTCAGCACGAATGTATTTCACTCATCTTTTTCTAGGTCACAGTAGGCTCCCTTCTGTCCACTGTCTTTCAAATGCATTTTTGTTGCTTGATCCAAAGCGTGGTGTTGGTAATGCCTGCATTGTCTCGTGTTTTTGTCATTAGGTCGAAAGAGATAGACTGGCAGCCTTATTTCACTACACGCATCGTGGATGATTTTGGCACCCATTTGCGAGTGTTCAGGAAAGCCCAGCAGAAGATCACAGAAAAGGATGAGCAGGCGAAAGGTAGAGCTCGCCCTCCATCTGGGGACGGCGATGGCTCTCCTCCTTCAGACTCCAGCTCTCCCACTCTGTTGCCTTTCTGCAGGTTCGGCCGAAGACCTCGTAGAGACCTTCTTTGAAGTTGAAGTCGAGATGGAGAAGGAGACTTGTCGCGATCTAGTCTGCACCTCTCCCAGAGAAGAAGAAGGTTTCCTTTTCTCTTTGTTATAATCCTACTGAAGGTGGTGGCCTGAGGTTAAGTTGGGGAAAGAAGAGTTAGCTAGAAAGGTGAAAATACAGAACCCAGCATTAAAGCTGAAGGACCTTACAGGTCATCTAGTCTGAAGCCTCCTTCTGAGGCCCAGCCCAAAGGAGCAGTGACTCACCTATGGTCACACAGCTCCCAGGTGGAAGAAGCGTCTGGATTCACACCTTTGGCTGCAGTCAGCCTTCTGGCCATAGCCTCACTCTGAGGGTGTATGCTTGATAAAGAACTCTTGCCTCAAGAAGGTGGCATAGAGGAGATAGATTGTTGAGTAGATGTATATTTTCATTTTATGTATTATGTTGGAAAAATGATTGAATCTCCCAGGAATCTCCTCTTTGTTCGATAAAACTGGGGCAGGAGCCGTCTCTCTGCATAAGAGTGGGGGCGGGGGGGAGTGATCTAAGAGCCTTAGTTCTGTGGCAGGGTCTGGGTCAGACTGACTGCCCACCTTCCCTGGGCTCTCTCCACGCTGGCAATGATCCCTAGCGGTCAGCCACTGCTTCAGGCAATCATGGTTTACTCCTGGTTGTTCAGGGTCCTAGATTGGTGGTGGAGGGTCCCCACGTCCTTTTCTCCCCTGTAGATGCCACCTCTTTTGTCATTTGCCTCCTTATTGGGATCCTGGCAGAGGAGACAGCCATTGTCTGCAAGAGGGCATGTGGACTTAGCAGCTCAAACGGGATTGGAAATTTAGTTTAGAGATCACCCATGGGTTTTCATTACCCTCGCTGTCCTGTAGCTGTAACTGACCCATCTGGAAGAGGAAATAGAGCCATACTTTTTCTCTCTCAGATATTAGAATTGTTGATTACTTTAGCCAGCATTGGAAGTAATCTTTTTTTTTTTTTTAGTTTTTACACTTTGGGAAATGGTTAATACAATTTGTTTGCAGGATATGAGGTTAAACACCTGTAAGTTTCCTGCTAGGCAGCATGACCCATTGGGTAGAGAGCTGGACTTGTAGGCAGGCTTCAGACTCACCACTGACCCTGTCAAGGGAATGTCTATGGGCAAGTCATGGGCGTTCTTGGGGGAGGCCTCAGTTGGACCTGCTGGTACCTGCCTCAGGTTGTTTTCCCACTCAAATGAGATTATGTAGAGAGCTTTACAAATTAGAAAGTATTACATAAATACTTTTATTGTTATTATTATTATATTCTTGTCACATTTATTTTTATTTTAAAAGTTTAAAACAAAATCTTGTATAGTAGCTTAATAGCTTTAGTATTAACTGGGCTTTGCTTTAACTACAAATGTGGCTTCTTTTATGTAATAGATACTTCTTGATAAGTGAAATATTTGACACATTTTAAGAAACTGAACTTTGACTAAATTGAATGTTCATGTAAAGTTCAGGTAGTTAGTTCTTGATTTGATTTTTCAGTATTATCAGTGTGTAAACCTTTAGTTTTAAGGCTTCTGCCCCATCCTTGCTGTCAGGAAATTCTAGCAGGAAGAGAAATTCAGACTACTTTTTAAAGGAAGGACCCATTTTGTACTGGCAAGAGTAGTCATCCTTCAATTTCTTTTGGGACTGGGGGCCTTGGTGGTTTTCTGAAGGTGGTGCCTGTGTATATGGGCTGCATGTTGATCGATCACGTGGGATGCCCTGAAATGGGGACTTACAATGTGTTAGACTTGAGCTGGTTGAAGAAGACTCAGAGTGGGGTAGAGCCTGAGACACACGTGAGGCCAAGTATTTTAGTAATTTTCTGGAATCAAGAGACTCCTAAAGGTGACAAGTTGGGGATGGAGCGAGGACACCTCCTGTGATGGAAGCGTGACTCTTCTGTACTATATTCTTAATAAATAGGCATCTTTGCCATGTCTAGCATATCACTCTAAAATGGAATTAACAACCACACTTCTCTTTCTAAGATTCCAGAATGAATTTTGGTGGGGTGCTGCTCAGTTTTCATTGTAAATAGCAAATTAAATTGATTGCCTTTTGGCTTTTTTGTTTTTTAATAAATTTCTATTTAAATAGACCGTGGGTTGCAAAAATAGTTCTTGTGCCCAAATGCACTGACTTAAAAGCAGAACTGAAAATATTGCTGAGACAACCTGAGGCTTTTATTTTTTCCTAAAGGTTTTGACTGGAGTAGTTACAGTGCAATACTGTTTGAATGTAGACACTTCAGACTATATGCTATTGCAAGTAAACTCTCCTAAAAACCTTTTTACTCTTCTTTTAACATGAGCAGATAATGAAGGAGATTGGACTTGCTGGCGTCGTCACTCAGCTCTACATCTGGGAGACGAAACTTTTGTTGGCATCTCCCTCTGGCCCCATAATTAAGAAACTGAGACCAGAGAGCGGCCCTGTTGTATAAAGTGCATTCCTTTAAGCACAGGAGAAGCACATGAATCGTAGTGTTTTCCTTTGCAATTATTCACCAAGAGAAGGAATAGAAGGACATTGACTAAAACTTGTACAGGATTTCTTTAGTATGTAGTTTGTAGCTTTTTCTTAAAATTTCCCCATAGTCCTCCCACATTGAAAAGACTGATATTTGTGCTCATTATATTATTAGAATGTGATACAAGAAGTCAGATAGTCAAGGATGCGAACTCTCCTTTGGGAGAAAACAAAGTCTTTCATAATGTAAATTCTACATAGCATTCATTGGATTTGTGGTTAAAACTAAAGAATTCAACTTGTCCCAGGATGATTAATGCCCAGTATCTTATCTGGAGAACAGTGCAGAAGTGTATACTTTGTGAATCTGTACTGGTATGTGCTTGTCACCAGAGTCACAAGCTGTTACAGTTGGAGAACTGGAGGGGCCAGATATCTCAGGAATGTTTAACACGTAAGGAGCACTCACAGAATTAATGTTTTAAGAGCAGGAAGAGTCTGAAGCCATGATAAATAGGAAAATGATCAGGAATACGCCATTTACATAGGCCTGGAGACGTCCTAAAGGGAAAGTTTCCTGCCCTGGAACGTGCATTTTCCAGCAGTAAGAGCCGTGGGTGCCCCGTTTGCTTGTACGGTGGTGTGACTGATTGTTTTTTCTCTGCCTTCTAGGATTCCTTAGGGATCTGTGTGAGGTTTTACTGTATTTGTTGCTACCTCCTGGAGACTTCCAGAACAAGATCATGCGATACTTTGTCAGGGTAAGCAGCGACATCTCATTTGGCTAAATGGGTCTGTGGAAGGAAGCTGACTCAGTGTTCTCCCCCTGATTTTGTAGGTAGCATAGGAAAGGACAGTAGTCATCACCTTTGCATTTCCTTAGACTCACGTGGTATTAGCAAAAGGTTCCAGGCGTATCATTCACTGCATAGAAAGAATCGCAAAGTCATAGAACTCGGGACATCAGAAAACTTCCAGTCCATCCCCCAGGGAAGGAGTCTCCTCTGCTCTATAACTTACAAGTGAACGTCCAGCTTCCACTTGGAGATATCCAGAGAGGGCACGCTGCCCATCGTGAGCAGCCACTTCTGCTCTGGGACAGCAAAGCCTTGACATGGGCCTGCTGGCCCTTCGTGTCCTTGAAGCCAGTGTTCCTTTGGAGGCCTCTCTTCTCCAAGCTCCACAGCCCCAGTTCCCTTAGGGCTGGTCATATGTCTTTGCCATCCTGGGGGCTCTCCCCTGACACTCAGGTGTGTTTATGTCCACCTGAGCACATTGTTTTGATCAGAGCCGAGAGAGGGAAGCCCGGGGCGGCCACGGGGAGCCAGGCAGCTAGGACTGTGCCTCCCTCTCCTGCTGGAAGTCATCGAGACCAGTGGACGAACTACTGGTCGTGTTTCCCTGGAGACACGGCGTGTTGGCTGAAAACCGAGCTTCTGGCCATGCCGCTTGTCCTCACCCATCTCACTGACCGTTTCACCAGAACTTCGCTTAGTGTTGCTTTCTGTGCCGACATCTGCCTGTACGTACGCTGTCAGGCTTCTTCCTCCATCACAGAGTCTGCAGCAGAGTCGAGTTCCTGGAGGGAGAAGGCTTCTGTGTGTCTGCCCTTAGCTGTCAGATGCATTGCTTGGCCTCAGGTGTGTGTGTTGGCCTTATTAGAATCACTAGCTTTGTCCAACCATGCCGTCATCCACTTCTCTGTAGTGGTTGTCTGTATGGACACACACACATGTGTAGGCACACGTACATATGTGTGTGTTATATTTATTTAGTTGTCATCAGCATTCACATTATCCTTCTGCTTTTAATTTAAATTTATGCTCCACTGTATTGTATCAACTTATTTCCCACAGTTAGTGCCTAGGTGTATACCCTGGAGGGCATGTGAATGATTTCCAATTTTTTGGTACAAACAATGCTACCGTGGAACGTGTTTTTACACGTTTTTTCATCTTTTGTATCATTTTGTTAGAATACGTTCCCAAGGTTGGAATTAAAAATTATGAATATTTTTACAGCTTTTGTTACACACTTCTGAGTTACTTTCCAGATTGGAGAATTTTCATGCGCACCTAGAACTGTGTAACCTCCTTTCCTTCAGAAACACAGTCGTAAATCAGTAGAGCTTCTTGGAGTTCTTTAATGTTTGTATTTTAAGTTCCGGTTAAAGCTTTCCCAAGAGTAGATAAATACATTCGTTTCTCTACTTCCCAAGTAAAATTCCGTATGATCGTTATCATTGTGGTTGGCATCATTGTTGTTGCTAGTCTGTTGGGTGTGCCTTACGGTACCACTTACAGAAAGGATACTGTGATGTTTAATTTACCTTTTTGAAACTGCCCTTGAGATTGCACCTTTTTACATATAATGAGATGCTCTGAGCTCCGTAACAGCATTCATTTTTCTCACCCAGCTCAGTAGGCTCTCGTGAGGTCTCGAAAATGACTTCAGAGAGCAGAGCAGAGCAGTGCCGAGGGCTTTCCCTGGCCCTCTCCCCGGGCCAGCCCTGAGCCGGTCTTCTGTTCACAGTCGTTTGTGTGTTGCCTTCCCCAGTAGATTGTTCGCTCCCTGAGGTCAGGGATGGTTCAGCACATCATAGGTTATGCTCAGTGCTTTTGGAGTGAACGTTGTTGGAACTGTCTAGTCATGTATCCGATCCTTTCTCTGTATTTCATACAGAGTTTTCTCCCTTTGAGGATCCGTTTTTGAAAGAAAGCTGGTGTGCTCGTGACCTAGCTCCCGCGGAGTGGTCTCAGTGGCCTCTTGTGTCATAGCAAGTGAGCTCGTCTAGGTATGATGAGGACACTTAAGACTCTTTCTCAAAGTGTAAGGAAAGGAGAGCCAGTGACGCCCAGGACCCAGATGGTCGCCCAGGACCCAGATGGTCACCCAGGTCTGCCCGTTACTCCCCTTTCTCCTCTCCCACTAGAGAGTGAAAATATACGTAGTGGGGGCTCAGGGGAGATTAGGGGAGCAGAGTCCCTGCAAGAAGGTCTTGGAAGACCCAGGCCCATAAGCAGTGAGACTGTGACTCAGCCTCTGCTTGTGAAGCGGAAGGGCCTCCCAGAAGGCCCTGGAGCCTCTGCCTCTGATGCTCAAGTTCTGGGAACTCCCCAAGGGGTAATTGGAGACAGTGGTCAGCTTTAAGTTGCAGGAAGGACAGCGGGGAGGTTCTCTCTGGCTGTGCCTAGAGGGAAAAATATGTGAGGCTTTTACTTCAGACAAACTTCGGAGTTGCTCCTGTTATCCAGTACATTTAGGAAATGAGCACATGGAACAGAAAAAAGGCTTGAGCCAAGGAATTTTGAGCCCACTGTCAATCAGTCAATCAGTAAAGCATTTATTAAGCTCCTACTATGTGCCCAGCACAGTGCTGGACCCTGGGAAAACCAAGACAAAAGAGGAACCATCTCTGCCTTGGAGGGTGACACTCTAGCAGCCTAGCCCTTCAGACTGAAGAGGATCCCCTTAGAGCTTCCCAACAAGGGGTCCGCCACCCTTTCCTTCTTAAAAACTTTCTTTACTGACATCTTCTGTCTTCACGGTCATTTCTTTGCTCCGTCTCTGGTTGAATCCTGCCACATGAAAAAGAAACGATGGGAAAAGTGCATTGCAGAGACCGTGCCCAAGAGCAGCATGTCTGCTGGGCTACAGGGGCCCCCTATCACCAGCCCGTCTGCAGGCCCTTCTCTAGTTGGTAGCGATTGGCTGGAGGAGGCACAGGGCACCCATCCCCTGCCATGGCAGCTCTGCCCAGCTGAGCACAAATGCCCTTGTTGGGACACTTTCCAAACAGCAGGCTGATGTCCCCGTCTCTGTCATTTTTGCCTCTTGTTTCCAGCTCTGCCCCTAAGAACAGGCAAAGATTCAGAGACAGTCTTCCCTAAGCCCAGCATCCACAGTTCCCTGCACCGACCCTTCTGTGGCCTGGCCGTCACCCCCTCACCCCCTCACCCCGGTTCCTCTCTCCTCAGCACAGCTTTTCTTTCACGGTGTTCTTTTTCAGACGGGACGTCCAGAGTGGAACCTGGCCCCTTTTGTTTCCATTGTTATCAACATCGAGGTATTCCTTATCTCTCCCTCACACTGAGGACCAGGGTTTATGTGCTGGCACTTCCTTGGTTTTCACAATCGAGGTCCACTAAGCTCTTCTCCCCCTGCCTTACTCTCACGGTGAGACATGAGATAAGTCCTTTGCATCCTGCTTTTCACAGAGAGCCGGCAGAAGTCTATGACGGTCTCCATCACTGTGTTGTGCCTCTTTGCCGAGTACTATTCTTTCCGCTCCTTCTTTCATTCATTTGGCAGATAGTGGCCAAGGGCCTTTGATTCTGAGTGCTGGACACTCTCGTTGCTCTGAAGACACAGAGGGAATGATGACACTGCCTCTGTTCTGGAGCTTACAGAGAAGTAGGAGAAGCTAGTAGTGAGAGTAGTATATGGTTTGTATAGACCAGCAGTTGGCAGAGGACCCCTTTATACTTGAAAAAATTGAGCCCTCACCCCAAAGAACTTTTGTTTATGTGAGTTTTATCTACCACATTCACTGTATTAAATATGAAAGCATTTTAGTACTATTTTGAAAAGTTTTGACCTCATGAGCCCACTAGAAGGGTCTTGGATCCTTGATGAGTCCCTGGACCACATTTTGAGAACCATTGGTATAAACCGTTGGTATAGTGTTGCTGGCAGGAGATGTTCAGGGAAGTCTTCCTGGGAGGCAGGGTCTCTGAGCAGTGCTTCGGGCGTCTGGATTGAGGGGCCAGGTTTGCATTCAGGAGTTGGTGGGGAGCCCATCGAAGCAAGATTGCCACTTGGTAGAATCCATGCTAGTGTTTCTGAAATCCTTTCTTGCTCACTATTTGAAAGTTTTACAATGTTTGACCCTTCATGGAGCAGTTTTTGAGTTCCTGGCAGAATAAGAATTGTTAATAAATTTATCGTACAAATGAAAAGTAGGAGAGATTTACATCTTTGTTTGTTTGTTTTTAGGAAATCCTTGCACGTGGAGTTCTTCTTCCATTAATAAACCAACTCAGTGATCCTGATTATATTAATCAGTATGTCATATGGATGGTAAGGGCTTTAAGTTTTTTTTAAACTTCAGCCTAATTTAATATATAACATAATTTGAATTTTGTGATTGCTTATTAAAATAGGCATGGTTTAATTGTAACAAGTGAAACTGGAAGAAAATTGCCTTTATGAAGATGATAGGTCAGCCTTACATGTGACTGTGCTAAAATGTATATATTTGGTAATGATTTTATGTCACCTCTGCACTGGGAGAGGCCTCACAGCTCACTCCATCTCACTCTTTGTGAACAAGGACTTTGTCTTCAGTTTTCTCAACACATCATCTTGGTATCACTTGAGGCAAGTCTTTCCATGTTGGATCAGCTGTGATGATTAGGAAGACTTCTCCTAGATAGGGAGTGTTGTGGGCCTTCAGTGTGTGTCACGCAGATCACACTGAGGGTCTGCCCCAGACTTAGAATTCACTCGTTTGGGGCCCTTGCTCCTCTGGCACGAATTGCAACCCCTTCTCTTCTGTTGGTGGCCAGCTTCTGAGAGCGGCCGAGAAAGCACTAAGGCAGCGATTCTGTAAAGAGAGGTTGTCTGACCCCTGGACCTCATGCCCTGCTTAATGAGGGGAGGGGGCTCAGCATCTTTGGGAGAAACTCAACTTGGAGTTAGTGAAAATGGATTCAGGTTCTTCCTGCCTCTCACTTTCATTGTGATCTTGGCCAGTCACAGATTGTCCATATTCTCCTGTTACTCATTTCTAAAGTGGTGTGGTGGTATCAGCTTACCTTGGAAGGACCTTCCAGCAATAAAGCTTGATGCTTTTGTGATTCAAAGGTGGCTGTGCCTCTGCCATATTTGACCATATTTATTTCTCAATAATAATAGCACCCAAATTTCTGTGTCATGGAAATGCCTGTTGTAATATGGGTCATTCAAATCTGTGTTGCATGCTGAAAACAATTATTTGGAAGGACTAACAGTATATGCAACTAAATAGTGCACTTGCCATATCAGTGCTGTTCAGTGCAGAACAGACGTACTCTTATCATTGAACGTTCTGGGTATGGTGACTATCCAAAGGGACGCCATTTTTTTCTGAGACTTCTATCCTAAAATCAGACCTATATTTGGCCCGCTCATGTTTCATTAGCTCTACCCACCATGGAGGAGATGAGAGTGATTTTGTATTGTTTGACTCTCCACAAGCATGTTCAATAAATAAGCACAGAGCTGCTCATTCCTCTCCTCATCCACATTAGAAGGGCTGGCCATTCAAAGAATCCAAGTTGGAATGGGCTTGAAGAGAACATTGTTAGAAGGTGCTTTAAACATGTTTTCCACATTCTTGTTTACACTTCAAAACCTTTGTTTCCACCTTTACTTCACATATAATAGTGGTCACTGCCTCCCACCCCTACCCCCCATCCCCATCACATGGTATCCAATGAAACTGTCCTCTTGGGTTTGGTGTGGCCCTTTACAGACATGTCCTGGGGCTTTGAGGGCTATCTGATTTTTTCAGATGGTCTCCTGGGTGGAGGGCGCATTGTTTTCCCCATCCTCCCTTGGACCTGGCCGTTGTGCCCATTTGTGAGAAGGGACCCCAAGGGGCATGGTTCTGACTGCCCCAAGTCCTACGCAGGGTCCTGACCACCTCCAATAAGCCAGCCACTACTGCCTGGCGTAGCATTTATCACTGTCCTTGCTGAATCTTACTGGTTTGGGATTTTGGTGAAGCCAGTAGAATGTCAGTTCTGAGAGAGCCGGGGCTCATTTGGCCTTGGAGCTCAGTGGAGTGGTGCCAGATTAGCATAAGGTGAATTTGTCTGCGAATCACCACTGTTGCTACCGTTATCACAGGAGCAATCATGGTGATCTCATGCAGGCTGTCATGGGATTCTCACAACAACCCTGGGAGATGCGTCCTGGGTGGAGGATACTGAAGCAAGCAGAGGCGATATGACTTAGCCGGGCTCACCCAGTGAGTTCAGGGCCTCCGCAGCTTTTGAACTTGGGTCTTTCTGACCCTAAGTCCAGCATTCTATCCACTGCACCCCCTAGCCACCCTTGCCAGAGACTCTTTTTTTTTTTTTTTTTTTTGGTTTAATGCATTTCAATTGATTTTTTTTTAAAGTCCTTTGTGACAGATCAAGGTATATTAAAAATGAACCTTAGTCCATTTGGAGAAGAATGGATTAAGCATTTGTATAGAGACACAATTTTTCTTAACTCATGAACTGGCCTCCTAAATTTTCAGATTTTTGTCCCGTAGATTCGTGATTCCAATTGCAACTATGAGGCCTTTATGAACATTATTAAATTAAGCGACAACGTGGGTGAACTCGAAGCAGTCAGGGATAAGGCTGTTGAAGAGTTGCAGTATCTTCGATCCCTGGATACTGCGGGTGATGGTAAGTCTGGGGAGGCTAGTTAAGTGCCTAATCATAGACTTGGGGATTCCCGAATCATTCTTGTCTTTAAAGCTAAAGGTGGAATTGTATTTCAGGAAGTGTCCTTCACCAAGTGTGAGATATGCTATCAGTCACATGGCTGCCATACTCACGCCTGTTTCTTTTTCTGTGAAAGTCGGTGGCACTTTCCTAGAACCTGTTCATTAATGAGCCCCAGTCCTTTGTATTTCCTGCTACAACCACAGTATGCATGTACAGCGATGGAGGAGACAGCTTTGTTGTGATTATCTAATGAAACTCCGACTGAAATCAGATTGTGCTTTATCAAGCAAATGAACCAATCTGGAGAAGGAGAGTGGACTGGCCAGTGATAGAGTCTTTGGCTTTTGCAATGGCATAAAAACCCCAAGCAACAATAGCTCCACATCTCTGTGTGATGGGGGAACAGGGAAAGGCAGATGTCAGGGGGCTTGGCTTCCCTTGGACCTTCAGGGAGCAGCAGCAGTCTGCTCAGGCACACAGGGGGAGAGAACAGAGAGACTGTGGGCTCTGGCCACGTTGGCTGTTCACTCAGCTTCCATACTCCAGAAATCTGCAGGCAGTAGAAGGAGGGGTAGCTTCCATGCGCTCAGCCTCCTACTGTGACCAGAAGACCAGAGATATGTGTAGTCTGAAAGGCTCTGTCTGAAGGTAGCAACAGCAGAGAGCTCTCCTGAGAAAGCCCCAGGGACATGTCTGAATTCCCCTGTGGCATCAGAAACCCATGGTGGAGGCTTTGAAAGCCCCAGGGTGTGGATGGCAGCAGCTTATGTGGCATTGGAGCACTCAGCCTGGGGCAGTGGAAGTACACAGGGGCTCTCTTCTGATCTGAGATGCCATAGAGGGTCCTGAAGCTCCATCTCTTTGAGTCTTAGAGATCCAAGGTGATGTCACCTTGGAAGGCGGACTGATCTGTGCCTGCAGGACAAAGACCCATCCGGACTCACCACCTCACTCGAAAGCACGACTGCTTTTGGCCCCAGCACAAAGCTCCAGATGGGGAATTACAGCTCTAGAAGTGAATAAAATGAAGAAGACGCCAACCACTGTAAAAATTATTGTCGATATCTAGATGGTTAAAAATCCTTCCTAGAAGGAAGAAATTCTATAACTACTACAAGTGGAGTCGCAAAGAAAAAAATCACTAAATCGATACCCGGAAGAATTGAAGCAAGAGAGTAAAAAAAAAAATGATATAAAAACTCTAGAGGAAAGATAAAAATTAAATAGTAAGAATCATTGGGCTCCCTGCAAACCATGATTAAAAAAAAAAGTTGAGAAACTGTACATCAAGAAACCATAAATGAAAACTATGAAGACTCCAGAACCCTAGCTTAAAAGTTAAAATGCCGGTGACCTGCAGTCAGAAAGCTTCTGTGATGAACAGGAGGAGGTCTTGGGTGGCTTTCCAAGGGGCAAAAGGGAGAGCTGATCACTAGGAGAATTTTACCCTGCAAAGCTGAGTATAATCCTGTAGGAAAAACAATGGATCGATCTTTAATGGAATCAAAGACTTTTCAGTATTTGTTTCTAACAAAAAGACCAGAGCAATAGGAAGCTGGAGATACAAACAAAAGATTTGAGAGAAACCTATAAGGGAAAGTTCATTCGAGAAAGAAACGTTTTTTGAGAAACACTTCCAAGGATATTGTCTTCCAAAGATAGTGAGGGAGGTAAATAAGAAAAACAGAAGCTAGGGTGGGAGGTGGAGGGGGAGGAATTGGTTCTTTTCTGAGATTTTAAAGAGGGGACAAAAGAAAGGAGTGTAAAAATGGTTCGTTAAAGTAGAAAGGAGGAAGAAGAGGGTGAAAGGTGACTTTGCTAATAATTGGGGTGCCTGAGAAGAAGACTGTAGAAAGATGATGTAAGGAGTAAGCCAGGTGGATATCAGATGAACCTCACCCTTGGGCGTAAATGAAAGACTATAGCATACATTTGTAGTGGATGCGGTCAGAACCATTGCATGATTTTCTCCATTTTTTTTTTTTTGCGCTGTTTGTGTAGGGGCAAAGATAACGAATGGTGGGAGTGATTCAAGCCTGAGGCGTGGCTGGACATAGTTAGTAATATGATAAGAGGACTAGGGATTCAAGACAGGAGGGCAGTATAGAGCTGAAATGGAGAAGGTGGCCAGGAAGGCTGTGTCATTAAGGGAAATTCAGATTTCAGTAAGAGTTAGTAGATTGAAGGAGTAGAAGAAAGGATTTAAAATGAAGGGAAATTTATTGCCTGTGGAACAGGCATTTCAGAGGGTGCAGTGGAAGGGTGGGTGGATTTGGATGAAACTTAAGGGTGGGAGGGTTGAGGGAGGGGAAGAGGAATTGGGTGATAGTGGATGTTGAGTGGGGTTTGGATGATCTACAGGGGTTCGGAGCCATTGGAATGTGAAGGATTATGCCCAGTTTTGGACATATTGAGTTTAAGATGTCTTTGGGGCAGTCTACTCAAGATGTCCAAAAGGAATTTGGAGATGAAAGTCAGTAGAGACGTTAGGGCTGGGTAAGCAGATTTGAGGATTATCAGCGTAGAAAAAAATAACTGAATCCATAGAAATAAGATGAGCCTCAGTCTTATGAAGGAAGGAATGAATAAATGGCTAAGGATGTTTTTGGCCAAAATTTCCTTTTCTGGGTCTTCAGTAGCTGTGGCTACAGCTCCTGCAGAAGCCAGCAGTCTTTAGGCTGCGTCTCCTGGGGTAGCTTCCGAGGACGATGGCTGAGGGTCCTGATCTGGAAGTTTTACTATTGCGGTGGCTCTTGGGCTCAGGGTCCTGGACTGGCTCCATCAGCATCTGAAGGGAGATGGTGGTCAAGGTAGTGGTGGGAGTTTGACCTGCCCAGCGCCTGCCACCTCCTGTGTCTTTCAAGGGGCCCTGCTGCTTTAACTGGGCTGCTGTGGCTGCCTGGCAGGTGGCAGTTGGTTGACAGCTGGGGGAGAGGGCTGCACAGGAATTGCTTCCATGATTAAAAAAAAAAAATCTCTTATCTGAAGCAAAGAAGGATTGAACATACATACACACACACACACACACACGCACATGCACACTCACTCACAGATAGATGTATATGTGAGTCAGACTCAGCAGAGAAACAAGCAGGGATGGGCATAGGGGTGTTCAGAGAGAGAATAATGCTGAGAGGAAGTCGTCACAGGCAAAACAAACTTCCTGGTCCTGAAAGAAGGACGAAGGGGAAAAAAAGAAAAGCAAAGAACTAGAATTCCAAGGGCGTCCCCCAATTGGAAGAGGGCTGAACAAATTGTCCTGTGTGATTGTAATGGAATATTATTGTTCCCTAAGAAATAATACAATGACTTTCCAATCCTACGGAATGTGACCTAATGCAAAGGGAAGCAAATGGAAGGAAGAGAACAGTTTTTACAAGAAGAACAGTGTAAAGAAAGACAGTTTTAAAAGACTTCGGATCTCTAAGCAAACACAAAGACGAGCCTTGTCTCCAGGGGACTCTGGATGAAGCTTGTCACTCACCTCCTGGCAGTGGTGATGGACTCAAGCTCCTTAGGCTCTACATATCCACCCTGTGGATTCATTTTGACTTACTTTAGTTGGGGGGATTCAAGGGGGCTAGCCAACTCAGCAGTGGCCACTGGATTGGAAAAGATCAGTTGACATCCCAGTCCTAAAGAAGGACAATGCCAAGGAACATTCAAATTACTGAACAGTTGTGTGCCCGTTTCATACCCCAGCAAGGTTATACTTAAGATTCTGCAAACTAGGTAAGCTTTAGCAATATGTGATCCAAGAATTAGCAGAAGAGCCAGGTTGGTTTTTGAAGAGGCAGAGGGACTAGAGACCAGATTGCCAATGTTCACTGGACTATGGAGAAACCAAGTGAGTTCCAGAAAAACTATCTACTTCTGCTTCGTTGACTACACTAAAGCCTTTGCCTGTGGGGATCACAGCAAAATGTGGCAGGACCTCAAAGAGATGGGAGTCTCCTGAGGAACCTGTGTGCGGGTCAAGAAGCAACAGTTAGAACCGAACATGAAACAACTGATTGGTTTAAGATTGGAAAAGGAGTAGGCCAAGGCTGTATATTGTCACCTTGTTTATTTAACTTCTATGCAGGGTATATCATGTGAAATGCCAGGCTGGAGGAATCAAAAATTGGAGGTTAAGGTTGCCGGAAGAAATATCAACAGCCTCAGATATGCAGACTCAGGCGGCAGAAAGTGAAAAGGAATTAAACCTCTTGATGAGGATGAAAGAGGGTAGTGTAAACACTGACTTGAAGCTTAACATCAGGAAAATTAACATGGCATCTGGTCTCATCACTTCCTGGCAAGTAGAGGAAGAAGAAATGGAAACAGTGTCAGATTTTCTATTCTTGGGCTCAAAAATCACTGTAGGTAGTAACTGCAGCCATGAAATTAAAAGATTCTTGCTCTTTGGAAGGAAAGCTATGGGAAATCTGGGCAGTATACTAAAAAGCAGAGACATCACCTTGCTAACAAAGGTCTATATAGTCAAAGCTGCAGTTTTTCCAGTGGCATTGCATGGCTGTGAGAATTGGACTCTGAGGAAAGCTGAACACCACAGAATCAGTGGCTTCAAATGGTGGTGCTGGAGAAGACTTTTGAGGGTCCCTTGGACAGCAAGGGGATCAAATCAGTCAAAACTTAGAGAAATTAATTCAGGCTATTCACTCAAGGTCAGATACTGAAGCTGAAATACTTGTCCACACAATGAGAAGACCGGACTCCCTGGAAAAGACCCTGATTTTGGGAAAGATTGAAGGCAAAAGGAAAAGGGGATAGCAGAGGATGAAATGGATAGATAATGTCATGGAAGCAATGAACGTGAACTTGGACAGACTTCCAGAGATAGTGGAGGATAGAAGGGCCTGGCCTACTATGGTCCACGGGGTCACAAAGAGTAGGACACATAAGGGGGCTAGCAGTGGTGATGCCAAAAAGCAGAAGGTCATTAAAACATTTTTTAAAATGGACAGAAGAGAACAGAAGGAATTTAAGAAAGAAACACAGGCAAGTTGAACAGCTTTGTTGAATGCAATCCATGAAATTTATTTTATACGTTTAAAAAAGCAAAGTGTATAAAATGGTAATTCGTGGTTTCCTATAAAATTCTTTTTGGTATTTTTCTGTTTGGAAAATGCCCTCTTTGCCCTCTTTTAACCTCTTTGGTGTTTAAATTCTGAATAAAAATAAAAGAAAGAAATCATTCACAGCTAGGGAATCTCTGGGGGCCTCATTAATAAAAATAGAAACATTAATGAAAGCAACAGCACATCCATTGGACAAACACTAATTTCTTCTTAGTCACCACACCTCGATCATCATCTCTTTCAGGGAAAGGAGGCATCTGTGACTTCTCCGTTTGTATAGCTTCCCTTTGGTCTGACTTAGTGCCTAACATTCATTCACCAATCAAATGCACATTCAAAGTACAGACTGTCCACTCAGGTGCATATGCGTGGAGTCTACTCAGTGGAGGAGTGGTCCCCTCTAACTAAATACTAATGGTAGCTACTCTCTCCTTCCAAAATGAAGTTTGTAAATGTGCTCCCCAAATGCTCAGCTCCCCAGGCTTGAGAGTTTGTTCACACGGCGATAAACATGATGAAAGCCAGACTGGGATTGTATCTTGGTTTCCATTTGGGCTCATCTCCGTTGTTCTTCATAAGATGAGCCATTTTTGGTTTTCATAGCAGTAGACAGAATCTTGGTCAATAAACATCTTCATCAGTATATATATTATGGACATCATATGTTAGGTATGCATGGTATGTGTTGTATCTTTGCCATGTATCGTGATATGTCATGTTATTTTCTGATAATAATCAAGCAGATGAACTATTGGAATAGAAGAATGTGATTTTCACTGTTAACCAACAAGGGTGATGATATCAGAACAAGTATAAATTTACTTAAATTGCCGCATTTTATTATTCATATTTTACCTTTCATTGAAATAAAAAATTGTAAGTTTTTTGCTAAATTATAGTGTTTACATATCAAAATATTTATAAATGGCATGTACTTAATCTCTAATGTATATTTATTGTGTTTGTTTACAGATATCAACACTATCAAAAATCAAATTAATAGTTTATTATTTGTAAAGAAAGTATGTGACTCCAGAATACAGAGGTTGCAGTCAGGCAAAGTAAGTAATGTATTTTTTGAATTAGTATTTAATCATGGATAATTAGATTTAACTGAAACATCAAGTAGATGACTGATTGTAAACCAGAAGGAAGAAAATTGAATTTGGTTTGATACTTTCCAAAAGACCTTTAATTAGATAGATTTTCCCATATATGCTTGCCCCTATGTAGGCAGAAATATCCAAATATTACACTAAATAATTACACTAAAGCGCATAGGAACTGTTGTATGCCAGCTGCACTGATTGTCAGTGACTTAAGTTACTATAATTGGCTTCTTGTCAGAAACAAGTGTTTTTTTTTTTTTAACTTGATTTTTATTTTAGTTTGTCAGACTCTTAATATTTTAATACCAAAAGTACATTTCTCTAGTACAGTGAGTCAATAGATGGTCTGTGGAAGATTGCTGGGGAAACTTGGTGAAGAATTGTGAGAGGTTCAGAAGGTGTGGTGGACTGCATTTTGTGTCAGGAGAAGGAATATCTGCACCATTGACAATTTGGCTCCCCCAAAGTATCATGCAGCTTTTTCTGTGGACCCCATGCCTGCAGATCTTCAGTGATGTCGCGTGACTCCTTATGGACCAGAAAATCTTAGCTTGAAAATAGTTATCATTAAATGGGACCCTGGGAAGTCGTTGGAGCCGAGGCCACTACAGCTCCTGTATTAAATCCATGAACGCCAGAGTCAGGTCATCAAACTCTTCCCAGCTTTGCATCACCGTAATGTTCACAACAGAGAGGAGGAGTAGCGTGGCGTGCTTGTGCCTTGATGCCCACAGGAGTGGGCCTTCCTAATGCCAGCCCTGGAAATGTTGCCAGGATGGTTCGTGATGGGATATTGTAATAGCTGAGGGTCCTTAGCACTTAGTTGTGGTTCAGAACATGGTGTGTTTAGTTGCGTTTTGTTTGTCCCTTTGAAAAGAACCTTGAAACTTAGGTTGGGGTGCATTTTTATAATCATGGGATTATGTTGTCAGCAAGCATTTACTGTCTGCCATGTTCCAAGCATTGTATTAAGCACTAGGGGTTCAAAGAAAAGCAGTAAACAGTCCCTTCTCTCAAAGATCTCACAGTCAGATCAGGGAGACAACATGCCATTAGGATACAGACAGGATAATAGGAGAGAATGAGTGGAGGGAAGGCCCTGGTGTGAAGGGGGATCATGAAAGGCTCTTTGTAGAAGGTGGGACCTTAGCTGAGACTCCAAGGATGCCAAGAGGAGGAGATGAGGATGGAGGAAAGGCCAGGCATGGGGGGCTGCCGGAATCAGAAGACCGGTGTCTGAGGAGGGGGCAGGCATTGGAGGGCTTGAAAAACCAAGTAGAAGGTTTTCTGTTTGGTCCCAAGACAGTAGGAAACACCTGGAGCTTGTTGAGTACAGGGATGACGTGGCCAGACTTGAATTTTCAGATCCATTCGAGAGTTGAATGGAGGTTTGGCTGGAGTGGGGAGGCAGGGAGGCCAGCTCGCAGGCTGTTACTATAGTAGTCAGGTACAAGGGCTAAATGTACTCCTTAGGAAGTGACTAATTAGTTGGAACAAATATTTTGGTAGCGAGGGAACTGGATAGCAGAGTGACTTACAGGAGGGCTGGGTTTTGTAGGAGGAAAGTATGATTCCTAAACTCATTTATCAGAAACCTCATCATATTGAATAAAGAACACATGAAGAAGCTGAGTACCTGAAGTTTAAGACAACAATATCTGGATTGACCGTTTATTTCTTATTGTTCACTCATTTCAGTTGTGTCTGACTCTTCGTGAGCCCATTTGGAGTTTTCTTGGCAAAGATACTGGAGTGGTTTGCTGTTTCCTTTTCCAGCTCATTTTACAGATGAGGAAACTGAGGCAAACAGGGTTAAGTGACTTGCCCAGGGTGGCACAGATAGGAAGTGTCTGAGGTTTGGATTTGAACTCAGTTTTTCCTGAATCTTGGCTCAGTGCTCTATCCACTGTGCTACTTAGCTGCCCCTTATTTCTAAGGAAAAGCTATCTGAGAACCAGAGGAGCCAACAAAGGAGGAGATAACCATGCCTTTAATCCAGTGTCTATGCATGAATTATATACTGACCTAATCTGGCAAAAGATTGAAGTGTGGAAGGTGGAGTGGAGGAGATGGTGGTGGTTGTAGAGATGGTTCTCAGCGTTGGCCATTTCTGTGATGAATTCTCTCCTTTTTCTTGTTCTGCGGAAGAGAAAACACCCCCACAGAAAGACCGGCTGCATGGCTCTCTGTGCCCCGGGGGCCCAGCTCCTTTGTGCTTTTGTTTACAGGCCTGAGAGTCGGGGCAGGATTGTTGTGGAGCATTTCACAGTTTACCTAGCAGACTCGGGGTGGCTTTATGTGTCTAAGTTTCATTGTTCTGCATCATTAATCATGCTACGGACTTGATTCTGTTACCTCTGAGGTATTCCTGATCTATGGGCCATGGGGCATGGTGGCTTCCAGGGAGCCAAGTTCCCTTTGAATTGTCTCTTTTAAGAGGCCACATGGTGCAGCACAAACACTCCTGTTTCTGGAGTTAGCAGACCCTGCCTTCACTTCTTTCTGGTTGTGTGACCTTGGGCAAGTCATTTCATGCTCAGGTTTCTAATCTGTAAAATGGGAACAGGGACATGGATAATACCTAGGATTTCACTGGTACAGGGAATTGTCGGCAAGGTCATTCCCTCCAGCAGTAAGTGCAGCCCTGGGCAGGAGAGACGCACGGCTGGCCTGCAGCCCAAGGCTTCCCATCTTTGAGGACAGCTCTTTGTTCATCACTGTACACTTCCTCCAGTAAAAATCTCGTTTAGAACAGTGGAATAATGACGCTTCTGCTAGTGCGAGCACTGCTGAGTGTGAGCTGTGGTGGGCAGCATGTGGCTGTTGTCCTTCTCTGACCACACCTCAACTGCTGCAAAGCCCACCAGGGTTCAGACTCGTTGATGGCATCTCCCTGAAGAACTGCCTTTTGTTTTAGTGGAGCATCTATGCCTTTTGTATAAGGAGGGAAATCTGCTTTATGCTTTTATGTCAAGATAACCTTCAGATCAGAAAAGTATTGAGAGATAATATTGTAACTTTCACTTGTCTTTTCAGGAAATAGATACTGTGAAACTGGCCGCGCACTTTGGGAAACTTTGCACAGTCCCCTTGGACAGCATTCTTGTAGACAATGTTGCACTACAATTTTTCATGGGTAGGTCAAACTTGAAATGAAAACAAAGCTGATTTTTAAGTTCTTGAAGGAACAGGAACTGCACCCCAGATTCTTCCTGTTGCTGAGTTTGTCTCCCGTTTTTTAGGATCAAATTCTCAAATCCTTGCTGATGCCGGAGCTCAATCCATTTTTGAAATAATGTGAACCTTAGAGATGTTGCAGGCGCTCAGCTTCCATCAATGTCAGGAGCTCCTGGCAGCGAGGTTCCTTGACCCAGTGCAGATCGAGGTCTTTCCCGCACCTTGGGGCACTCTGATGCAGAACCAGAAGCCCGGTCTTCCTGTGTCCCAGGCTCGCTTTCTGTCCACGTTGAGCATGGGAACTTCATGATCAGAGCATTAGGACTGTGGAGACAAGCTTGTCAAAACCACTTTTAGCAATGCTGTGTTGTGAAAACGTCAGATTTTAAAAACAAATAAAAATGATTTTTTAGGTCTTAATTGAAATCCCAATATTACACAGTGGCTAGTCCCTAAAGGACACCATTTCTCTTGATACCGTATTCTCCTGAGCATTTCCTTACCTTTCCTGTAAATACTGAGCTCTGCTGGGTTAGTCATGAGGCAACAACCTCACATGGCAGGTAGGGGCCAGTATGTGCATCTGTTCAAAGGGCCGCCGCCTCTGACGATCGTCCTCACAGTGGTCGGTCTCGAGTCTCTCTGGGGGCCGAGACCTGGGCTGAGTGCTGTCCTTGGTCCTTGAGCCCTGGGCATGGGTGCAGAAGAGGCCCTCACAGAGGTTCTGAACAGATTCTTTTTTTTTAAGAGTCCCATGTTCCTCCATTTTCAATTTCCTGTGGCTTTTGGTGGGACGAGATGCCAAATAAATGATTTTACCTCACATCAGAGTTAACGAGCCTGGGACTTTTGCCTGTTAGATTACATGCAGCAGACCGGAGGTCAGGCTCATCTCTTCTTCTGGATGACGGTGGAAGGGTACCGGGTCACAGCCCAGCAGCAGTTGGAGGTGCTTCTGAGCCGCCAGAGAGATGGGAGACAGCAGACCAGCCAGACGAAAGGCCTCCTTAGAGCCGCTGCCGTCGGCATTTATGAGCAGTACCTGTCAGAAAAGGTAGAGACGAGCTCCAGCTTAATTGTTACTTTATTCTTTGCCGTGGTTGGAGAAGGCCGTCAGGTGCCCGGAATGTAGGCTTTTCTCTTGTCATCAGGGACTGGCTGATTTCATTTGGGAGTTGCTCTAGGCGGTTGGAGTTCTCTTAGGAAAATATCATCAGAGAGATTTTAATTTATTCAGATTGGAATATTTGTTGATTCTTTAACATAGTATCGAAAACCTGTGCTCTTAGTAAATACAGTGTTTGTATTCAAATGCTCTCTTTTTGTCTGTTCAAGGCTTGATTTTAATGGTCAAAAGTACATATTTTTAATTCATAATCTTTTAAAGAAATTCTTGAATTTTCTCAATTTCTGCAAATTTTGATTCAGCTTGAAACTTGAATGGTCTTAAGTTACGATTTTTAGGAATGATTTTAATCAGAATTCCCATTCTCTTTTATAAAAGACTAATTTAGGGAGAAATAGAATAATGGACTGTTTTTTTGTTTTTTGTTTTTTGTTTTTTTGCTTGAGCCAGTCATAGTGAAAGTTTTTCCATAAAGGGAGAAATAACATAACCTCATTTCCTCAACTCCTCTTTCAAGTATTGTGCTTTCCATATCATTGAAGAAGCCTTTTGACCTAAGTTTGAGATTGCTGTGAAACTGGTGTGGGTCCTTATCATAGGGCACAGCCCAGGTGAGGGCCTGGACCAGACCCCCGACCCAGCATGCATCTCTAAGGTATGCTCGGGCTGAGGCTGACGATACCATCTCGGGGTGGCCAGGTTTGCTCTCTTGCTGTCTCAGAACTCTCTTGGTTATCCCTCATTCTTGAAAGGAGACTAGCCTAGCATTTCTCCTGCTCCTATGTTCCTTTGGTGCCATCTTTCCATCAGTGCTACAGAATCCTTTCTTGTTTATCATGTGTGACAGTCTGCTCTCACACACCCACACACTGGGCAGCTTTCCTTTATTTGAGGTCTTTGGATGCAGCCATACGACACCCCCCAGGAAAATATTGGTATCAAAAACACGAGGTCTTGTTTCAAGTAAAAGTTTGGGGTCATGACAGTAACTTTACGTGATTTCCCGAAGGCGATCCATCCTGCCCTCCTCCTGCTGTTCAGGTCTGGACCCAGCTTATAGCTACCCCAGATATATCGATTGATGGATGAGCTCGATACATTGCCTGGCCAGTTTTATGTGAGGGTGTAAACAGTGGTCTTTCTTTTATCCACACGTTGTGTCCAGAGTGGGTCCTGAGAGTGACTTAGGAGCTCCCACAGGGTCATCTAGAGGACCTCAAGATCTCTTGGGATAATTCCCCTTTTGTTATTTTGTCCTCACCTTGCACAGAGAGCTTTTGATGCTCTCAACATGGCCCTCTTGATCTTCTTCAGCTCTTTCCCCAATTTTGTTGTTGCTGAAGCTTTCGGTTTCCTCAAGAACCAAAGCCAGGGCTAGTGATCGATCATGGCAGGAATGATGACAATAATGATAATTGTAGTTGCTTTTATGTATCACAGTTCACTCTTGGCTTAGAGCCCAATATGGTGGTTTCACCGTCCTTAATGGTGAAAGAGACTTTGTGATAAAAACCTGGTTAGATATTTTCTGTTTTTCTTCTGATGTCATCTCAAAATTGATCCTTACACGGGAAGGACTGAGGGTTAAGACTACCTCCGAGGGCAAAGCTGCACTGTTTCCTTTTTGGTCCATAAGATACAGAAAATAAAGGTAGTAGAGTGAACATTTTTATTTCGAAGTAAAATTATAATCTTTTTACATCCGTTGATTTTCCTGGTCTTTCTCGTGTTGAATGAGCTTGCCGTAACCGTTTGGGGTGTCAGTTTCTTGGGGAGGAATAAGAACAGGGGCCTCTTTGGTTGTTGGTGTGTGATCTTCAAGAAAAGCCATGTGGCCCCATCAGGGCTCGTGGTTCAGATGTGCTTGATGAGAACTCCCTTCCTCGGCCGTCCTGAGTTGTGGGCTGTCTGTCTTGTTTCCAACAGGCATCGCCAAGAGTCCACATTGATGACTACTTGGTAGCCAAGCTAGCGGACACGCTGAACCATGAGGATCCAACGCCTGAGATTTTTGATGACATCCAGAGGAAGGTATTGCGACCAAGTGTGATTTTTGGTTTAGAATGGACAGGCCTTTTATTTATTTTATTTGGGGTTCCGCGACTTTTCTTGGGTTTTGACAGAAAAATGAGGCAGTTCAGTCCAGGGATTGATTCCACAGCTTCTGAAAAGCTGCCCGTTGGATGTATTTAATTAATTGTTTTCACTTTGGGGCTGGGCAGATGCTGCTGCATTGTGACATACCCTGTGGTCAGCTTTCTGAGCCGCAACTTGAGTCCTGCCTTTCAGTGAGGAATGTTGGTATCAAGTGCTTTGGCCCATCTGTGGGGACAGGGGCTGACCGGTTTGTTTGCTGCTGTTTTTTTTAAAGACTCATCAGTTAATAACACTCGTTTCCTATCTTGCTTTTTGCTACAGTTGTGAAGAGATTCATTTTTCAAATTTTCATTTTATTATTGAAAAACATTTCACTACTGGATCTTATAGAGAAAATTGTCTTGTATGTTATGCACTTCCATACAATAATTACTTGTTTCCCAGAAAGTGATTGAAACCTTCAGGAATTCTGAGTGTAAAAGAAAAGTTTCATAAATACATGTCAGTGCAAAATGAGAAACCTCCCATCTCTTTTCTTTCTTATTTTTTTCTTTTGTGAGTAGAATTCTGCACATTTTGAATGTTAAGATGAATGTGTCCTTGTACTAATGAGAGCGAATCTGCCTTGGGTGGGGCCAGCGTTCAGCCTTGCTCAGGCCGCAGCATAATGACGACTGGTGTCCAGGAGCAGAGCGTCAGCCCCGGTTCTGGCCCTCTCCTTTGGATGTTGCGCTTCTTGGTTTTTGCTTTTTGACGACACCACCTGTCCTCTTGTCATAACACAGCCTGTTTCAAGCAGGACTTTGACCTTATGCAGGCAGTTCCATTACCAGAGTATTAGTCAGCGAGCGTTTTCACAAAGCACCTGTTAGGTGCCAGGAAGATTCCATGTGTGCCTGGGTGCTGGGGATATAGAGACAGAAAGGGGCTTCCTTCCATTCCGTGAGGGTACGGCATGTGCATGGCTCATATTCTCTGTAGGGTTTGGGAAAGGCCCAAGGAGAGATGGTGCTTGTGTGGAGCCTTGAAGGAATTTCTGCACTCTTAGGGGTCTGGTGAGGAGGGAGAGATGGCAGAAGGAATGCCGTGTGTCAGGAAGGGCAGTAATTAAAGTTATGAAGATGATGCTGATAACTGGCAGTTGTATACAGCTTTAAGGTTTGCAGAGGGCTTTACAAATGTTATCTCATTTGGTCCTCACAACAGCCCTGGGAGGTGCTAAAATTATCCTCTTGTTACAGATGAGGAAACTCAGGCAAACGGAGGGAAAGAGATGTACCCCGGGTCACCCAGCTAGTCAGTGTCTGAGGCTGGATTTGAACTGGGGTCTTCCTGACTCCAGGCTCAGTGCTCTGTGCACCATGGTGCCCCCTAGCGTCGTAGCCTGGAAGTATCAGAATGGATTCCTTCTAACCTAGATAAAATAAAATCTGACTTCAGACAGCCTGTCTTGTGGAGCAGGAAGCTGCCTTTAGAGCGAGTAACTTTCCTCATCTCTTAGCAACGTTCGCTCATGGTGCTGTTTCATCTTCCTCAAAGGTGTATGACCTGATGCTGAGAGATGAGAGATTTTACCCATCCTTTAAGCAGAACGTTCTCTATGTGCGCATGCTGGCCGAGCTGGACATGTTAAAGGACCCCAGCTTCAGAGGCTCTGATGATGGGGATGGAGGTAAGGCACACTCATTCTCGTTACAATTACTAGTGAAAGTACAGCCTTTTAGACAATCCGTTCTTTAAATCTGAAAATTATTTTAAATCTACAAACAAATAAGGCAATATATGTATGTATTACGTTAAAATGTCAACATTTTGTAAACTGTTGGACCCTAGGAGCTCTTCAGGTGTGATCCTTGGGCTCTTGAAATGAGACTGCTTGGCGTCACTGGGGTGAAATCTCCTCAGACATTTGACCTGCATTTTTTTCTTGCCCCTGGTAACAGATTTAGGAGTTAAATTAGATAGTCTCTAAGGTCCTTTGTAGCTTATAATTTTAAGTTATGTTTTCAACTCATATCAAACTATACTCTACAGTGCAGAGGTCATCTAGTCTGTGCGCTCATTTTACAGATGAAGAAAGTAGGGCCCAGAGAGGACATAGAACTGCTTTGTGGTAGAGCCGAAGTGAGATTCCAGATCTCCTGACTCTTTTTTTCTAAATCTTTTTAGACATTTATTGATGATAATTATTGGCCCCATTGCAGTGTGGGGCACAAATTACTCATGATGTCTGTTGGTAGGTTGACTTCCCCTGGAGGGCAGGATCTTTCCTGAAATGACAAGACTTAATTTAGTCTTTACTGTGGGGGAAAGAAAATGGCAGCACTTCTTCCTCGAGCAGGGTGGGGAGAGCATAAGACATTTCGTCTGAGTAGACTGCTGGAGTCGGACAAAGTTAAAATGACCAGTGGAGGTCATTGGGTGATGGCCCTTCTTGATGAACACAGGAGAGAGCAGGGCTGAAGGTCTGGAAGTGAAGCTCCTTGACTGGCTTGGTTGAGTCCCTCAATACAAGGCTCCACGGGGCTCCAGGATTCAGTGGAGATTTGGTAAGAAAGGGGAGCATTCCTCAGACCTTCCCGACATCCTCGTCTGCCATCGACAGACCCCAAGTGTCATGAATTTCTGACCTGGGGATGGCAGGGAAAGTCAAAACCCTTGGTCTTCAATTTCCAGAAGCCTTTCTGGATGAGAATGTGTGCACCCATCAAGTGGGTGTCATTGTCTGATTAGGTACCAACATGAACTGTGTAGAGAATAGATGCTCTCGAAATTTAGGAAAGGGATAAATGCCTGTGTTTGTCCTTTTGAAGCCTGCAGGAGGCATTGGAGCTGGACTCTCTCAGTTCAATTCAGTCAACATTTATTAAGCACTTACTTTATGCCAGTGCCTGGGGGTACTAATGAGAAGAAGAATGACAGTCCCTGCCGTGCTGGGGAAGACAGTATACTCAAGGAAGTGGAGTGCAGGGGTGGGGTGGTCATGGAATCGTAGACTTTAACTCTCATTTTGTCAATGAGGGAGCCTGGGAGGGGCTGAGACGGGTCTCCAGAATTCCTTGGGTCCTTCCATGGCCCCTTGAGAAGGCACATCTGTAGGGCCGCTCATTAGGGAAAAGGAACATGAAAAGAAGTAATGGAAGTTGTTTGTTTTTTTTTTTTTCATACTGTCTGCTACTTTGAAGATTCAGACATGTATATCACTCAGTATTTTAAATCCAGAAAAGCTTAAAAGGAAAAACATTCAAATTATTAAAGATTTATCTTTTAGGATTTAAAATTGGAGGTGTTCAATATGCCTATTTTAGTTGTAGAAACCTCTATATCTGGTTCTTTTTTTTTCTGAATGAATAAACATACTCTGTAACTTCAGCAAAGGTGATCAGAGTAAAGATTTTTTTAAAAGTTGTCCAGCCCTGAACCGTGAAGCTAGGCTCATGCAGGTGGCTGACTGTTTGCCCTCGCTGGTGTCTGTGGCCTCCCCTTTGTGGCCTGGCTATTGTGTGCCACACCAGATTTTTTTCCCCTGACTTATTGTTCATTGGCAGTGTTGGTGGAAATGGATTTTCTTGATCTAAAATTCACTTATTTTTGGAGGGAAATTGCTTTTGAGTCCCAAATTAACACGACCCCCATTTTCCCAGTGTGAAGACAGTTTACCCTCACATCAAGTGGTGCCGATGTGCTTGAGCTGGTGTTTTCTTGGTGCTATTTGAGGAGAGGAATCAGCTTTACTCTCTGGAGAAGGAGGATCTTTATGGGATGGGGGAACCGCAGTAAGCTTCGAGAAAGGAATCATTCCAGATATGGTTGGTAGTACATCTACCCTGGTTGGAGTTCACCCTTTACTTAGTGCTCACAAAAGCCTGCAGTCCTTGTTGGCCCAGGCTGCTTCTCATTTCCAAGCAGGGATGCTGAGAAGAACCTTTCTGTCTGTCCGTCTGTCTGTCTGAGCATGTGGCCCTGTGGCTGGCACCTGGAGGTGCTTCATCAGGACTGATTGATCTTAAACCTTGAGCATCAGCACACACACACACACACACACACACACACAAAACTGTAACTGGGGATTTCTACCTCATGCTCTAGACAGCTTTCTTAAGGTTTCTGGTTTGGATTCTTCAGTTCAGTGAATGAACCCTGAGTGTAGTCTTGCTTTATTGCAAGGGAATGAATGAGCAAAGCACCTGCCCAGGGCTTACCACGTCTAAGTGGGGAGCTGCCTGGCAGCACCTCTGTTGTTCTTCTCTGACATAGACTGGCAGATCTCTTCTCTCCGTGCTTTAGACCAGAAGTGTTCAGGGTGCACCCTGCAGCTCCCTGAGTGTAGCCTGGACCAGATCAAAATATCGTTGGGAAACATTTAACAAAATAAATAAAAATGCAGTAAAACATAGATAATATTACATTCTAAAAGTGTCAGTGCGCACCCACAGGAATCCTTCCGTATGGGTCAGGGGCCCCCACTCCTGCCCCCACCAGCTGCCTAAGGCTTGCCATGGCAGAGAAGGGGCCAGTCTGTGTTAGGAGGACGAGTTTCCTTCTCTGAGCACTTCCTGTATGAGTGAGGTCACAGGTACCCTGTATTTGCACAGTGTAATTTGGGGTAGAGGATCTTCAAAACGCCCTTCCTGAGTTCCTGTGAAATCAAAATCTGAAGCCTTGCATCATTCATATCTAACATTGGGTATATTTGAGAAAATAAAATATTTGATGCTGGTTTTAAGAAAAGCAACTGTTAATTATTAGGAATCCAGGAAAGAATAAACATGATTGCTGGATCCCACAGTAATCATAGTAGCTGTGCTTTAAGGTTTTCAAAGGGTTTTACAAATATTATTTCATTAGATCCTCATAATAACCCTGGGAAATAAGTGCTGTTATTATCCCAGTTTTACAAGTGAGGAAACTGAGGTAGGTAAAAGTTAAATAACTTGACCAAGGTCCCACAACTAGTAAGTGTCTAGGGCTGCATTTGAACTTAGGTCTTCCTGACTCCAGGCCCAGTACTCTAACCACCGTGCCACCTTGCTGCCTCTATCTCATGAAGTTTAACCTCCAGAATGCTTATTTTGATCCCAGAATGGCATTTATTGATATATTTTTAGGTTAATATATAATTCTGATTGGAACAGAGTAAAGCAGTCACATTTGAAATGGAAGTGGAGTTGAGCTCTGAGGGTGATGGCCAGAGTCTTAGCTGTTTACCCTCCAGCCAGTTGGCCTGCCTCTACTTCGTAAAAGTGGTTTATTTATGAGTCAAAATCAACCACTTTAAACCAGGCATTACTTGAAATACTGAAGCCTATTGGTCATGGGTTTGGTTTAAAGGGAACTGTGTCTCCTTCTGCCATAGAGGCAGCAAATGGGCATTCCCACCTAGGCCAGGGCCATTTTGGGCTGGCTAATCGAGGGCAGTGCCCTGGGGCTTATGGTGCTTTCAGCTGTATGATTTCGTAATTTTTATTACACATTGAGCAGTTGAATATGGTACTTTGGAAACTGTGTGTGTCGTAAAAATCATGAAGGGACAAGAGTGTCCCTGGTCACTTTGGCCCGAAGATCTAGTCATTGCCTTATCAGTCCATTGACTGGCCTTGGGAGTGGGAGTCTTGCTGCTCTGAACTTTCTTTCTATTGGCTTCTTTGCAGTGGTCATTGTTGTAAGCTTGTAAGCTTATTTTTCAGGAATTTTACACTGGGCTTCCTAGCGTCCTTTGTCCCTTGTTTATTGATGAGCATATAGATACTTTAAAAGATATGTTAAGCCAATCTGGAAACCAGTGGGGAGGACAAAAAGCCTTCTGTACCCCCCGAGAGGTGTGAAGCCCCCACCCCCCCTACATTCTCGATCTGGACGTGTGCCGTGCCCTCTGCCATCCACTCCAGCCGCAGCCATGGAATTAGGACTATTTGGGGTAGTCCCCGTGATGGGGATTTTCCTTTTGGAGCCTCTTCTTTGGTCCTTGGGTCTGTCTGGTTGGAAAGCAGATGACTTGAAAGGGATTTTGAGCTCCCTAAGTTTTCTTTTCGTTGGTTTTGTTGAATTTTAGCTTTTTCTGTTCCTTCTGACCACATGAAACAAGTCCCTTTTTGGCTTCATCTTGGTGGAGATTTAGCACCTTCTGGATTAACTTTGGACCAGTCTAGACACTGCTTGCATGAACACAAACTGTTTTTATTGTCCTTGGCTCTTATTTCTGGGGTTTGGGTCAGAAGTTTAATTTATACTTCATAGGCTTCTGAAGCAACCTGCAATAACTGTGCCTGGTCTTTTGAAAGTATTTTTTTTTTAAAAAACAAGGAGTCAAAACCACTTGAATCCTGAACTGTACAATTGCTTTATGTTGGAAGCATTATATGAACTAAGAAATGAGCTTTTCTGTTATGAGGCCCCAAGTCAAACTTTCTTGGATTGTTTTCACTAACAGAAATCTTAATTAGGAAGGGGAGACCATGAGGAGAAAGTCCCCGAGGAAATGACCCAACCCCAAAGTTTAGGGGCTGTGGAGACAAGAAGGGGCTACAGATTTGGGGTCTCTGCTACCTCTCTAGGAGGGAAGGAAGCACTCTGATGACCTTTCAGTTTTGTGGAAACAGTGACCTTCCTACCTAAGGGTGAAGAAGAGAAATGCTGGAGTGGGGAAAGGGATTTTAACTGTCAGGGGAGTATTCCTCTGCTGGACACTTGGCAGGGCTTTTATGGGGAGCTGTGGGAGTTGTGGGAATCAGGAAGGGCTTCATGTGGGAGGTGTAATCCGTCTACCTTCTAGATTGGAGATCAGTCTCTGTTCTTGCCCTGCCACGGGGGTTATTTGTCGTTTTTCTTCACCTGATGATGCCAAAATGCCAGAATGCAGCAGCACTAACCTACCTCCAGCATGACATTTCCTTCCTGCCTGCCCTCAACTGAGCCTCCACCATAGGCCAGGCACCCTCCAGTGCCCAGACACCCTGCTCTTTGCTCTCTGCACTTGCACACACATTCTCTTTGAAGTGTTGGTGGGTCAGGAGGCCTCGGAGACTGAAGGATTTAGAGTTTGAGTCTTTGCCATAAATGCATTTTTCTTTAATATTTTGTCATGTTTCAGCTGATGTGAATTTTATACCTAACACATGAACCTTAGATGAAACCACTGTTTAGAAAGCATTTTCTGCATTCTAATTTGAGGTATTTTTTTTTTCCCCACAGAATCTTTTAATAGGTCCCCTACAGGGAGCATAAATTTGGTAAGTGTGATGGTTCCTTTAAATATTATAGTAGCCTTAAAAGTTTTAATGAAAGTTTTAGAAAAATATATCATTTTGCTTTATGTGATCAAATGGTACACCTCAAGTCCTTCTTTATTACATTAAATGATTATTACATTTTTGGAAAATTTTAGTCTTTGTGAATTACAAATCAAAATGAGTGAGTGAATGAATGAATGAAAGAAAGAGCATTTAGTAAGTGCTTACTCTGTGCCAAATACTGGGGGTACATATACAAAAAACAAAGTCTCTGCCTTCATAAAGCTTACATTCCAATGTAGGAGAACCCAAACAAAGGAGAATGGTTCCAGGGAGGGCATTTGATCTGGAAAGTTTAGGGAGAGTGATAGGAAGGCCAGACCTTACCTGGGATCTATGGCAGAGTTGACTTGATCTTGGTTCATAGTTCCAGAATGAGGGGAGGTGGAATGAGAGAACGGAAAGAGAAAGGTCCCTGAGAGTGGGCGAAGTGGTTTGTGAGGCTAGCCAGGGAGATGCTGAAAGAGGCAGAAGTGAAACGAAGCAGGGTGGGGGCTTTCACCATGAGCAAGATCTAGTTTTGAATGGGTATCTATACAATCTGAGGGCATTGATTTGCTTTGTGTAAAGAATCCCAGTTTCTATTCTTTTTGAGTGTGTTCTATCAGGCTTTCTCCATCCAGTCAGAGCACCAGCTGGGTGCTGAGCTCAGTGCTCTGCTGGGTGTGAATTCATGACAATGGTTTCCTAGGATCAGAGGATCTTTGATCGAGGGCTGGCAGGGGTCTCAGGGCCTAGCCAGGCCAATCCCTTATGTTAGAGAGAAGGGACATGGCCACCTCACCCAGCGTCCATCCCCCAACTAGGAAGCATCGGGGTGGGGCGGGAGCCCTGCTCTTCTGTGTCCATGGAAATGGATGCTGAGCTAAATTTGCTTTTGAATTAAAAGTTCTTTTTTTCCTGTAAGAAAATGAGTTTACTGTGATTGGATTTCTGTCTCATAAAATATTTTAATCTTTAGTTCTTTTTTATAAGCAGTCATGGCCATTTTTACATGTTTATCATGACTGTTTAACTGTCCTTGTTGGTTTAGGGCTGTACGTAGCCAATGGTAAAGCCCCTCTCTACCAGGACCTAATTTTCTCAATGATACGTCTAGAAAGATGGCAGTTGGCAGTCAGCACCTGCTTGGTCTTCCTACTCAGCCTTGTGTAGATGGTCTTATCTGCACTGAGTCATTTCAGTAAAGAGACTGGTGCTCACCCTCTCCCTCTGCACCCATCCTTCCCTTCTTTGGTTTCTGACTGAGTAGCACTAGCTGATATTACCACCTATTTTAGCTTTGTCTTATACAGAGTTTAAGGTTCTCTCTTGGTGGAGGGGTTGATTTCTGCAACTTGTGTGGTGTTTTCCTGACTGCTGGTGCATAGCCATCACCCTGATGCTCATCACACTTCCAGCCCTGCTTTTTGAAGGGGAATAACCCCCAATATGTAGAGGAAGTGTTTGCGAAGGTAGGCAGGAGGCTAAGGAAAGGGCTCCCAAACCCAGAAGAATGTTTTACTTTGCCTCACTTCATCTTATTTGGTCCTCCAGCTGGTCCTGCGGGTGCAGGTGTTGGAATGCCAGGGAGAGCTTTGTCTGGCTTTGCTCCAAGTCTGAAATAACTTCCTAATCAAGTAATACAGCTCCTTCCAGACCGGTTTATGCACAGCCCCACAATCTCCGCATGGGAGCAAGGGCTCGGGTGGTGACAGGGCCTTAGGGACTTGGCTTGTTTGTCAGTCGTTTTAGTGGAACAGGCTCATGGCTTTGTGGTCCCTGCTTTGGAATTTTAGTGGTTGTATATTCTTGCCCATAATTACAGTTTTCACCTTTGCTTATATTACATATGTTTCAAATGGAGTAATAGTCCCATATGTCCAACAAAACAGATAAGAATCCCAACATTCCCCAGCATGTTTGTTGACCATTCAGCGAAAGACCGGCTGGCAGTCAGTCTCACTGGATCCAAACATTCGCCTGAGTGAAATTTTCCATTCCAAACTTGAGTTTTCAGGTCTTTTGGCATCTGCCATCTGCACTGTCTGATTCCATTGTAATCGTCCCAGTCATTTTATTGTGGCCTAATTAAAATATCTACATTATAATGACCAGATATTTGTGTGCAAATTTAAAAACTACTTTAAAACATTTCTATTGACATTTGTTTTTGTATCCCCTAAATTTTCCTATCTGTCTCTCAAAAGCTATCTCATAACAGAGAAAATTCTTAAGAAGAATAAAAAGAGAAGGGGGGACAGTCATCAAAAACCCTATTTTTTATTATGTTGTTGATTTAAGGGATATATAGAGCTTATGTGTAATATCCAACGTGTTGCTTTAACAGCTTCTTAGTACCACAGCATAGGCTGTTAGATATTATTGCTGAGAGGAAGGATGATCTTCAAGAGACACTTAAAATTTTCCATTTTCCTTTGCTGGTAATTTATTGGATGGGAAGACATGTATAGTAAGACATGACATTAGTTCAGGAGAGGGCATTATTTTCCTCAAAGGTATTGCTTTTTGCATACAAATACTTTCTAAAACAGAAGGTATTTCTTTCTTCATTATAGGTCACCTAGTTTGGCTACCTTACATTTATTTTCCATTCTATGCTTCTGAAAACCCTTCTTCTGATATCATAGTTCTGAAAGAGATGTTGTGCCCATTTTATAGATAGAGAAACTGAGACTTCTTCAGCATCACATAGGGAATCACTTGCGTGACTTGAGCTCGACCTAGGTCTTTGAACCCTAAGACTGTCTATTCGTTTTTCCTACTCCAGGAGTTTTCCTAACAGTCATGTCAAATTATTACATTTGGCTTTATAATAATCAGCCTTTATTAGATATGTTTTTGCAAAAGATGCTTGTCTCAGAGTCACAGGGCCACTTGGTTTTTAACCCCGTGCTCTTCAGCACGTCCAGACCTGCATGTCAGGGACTAGAAGTCTCTCCTTCAGGTGATGCTGACAGTGCCATGTTAAATTTCTGACACGCTTTCACACTTTTGAGATTGAAAGTGGCTAAAATTGTGACTGTTTGTATAATCTCTGCTAATATCTCTTTGTTTCTTCTCCGGATAAATAGCCTCTAAAGCAGGTGGAGGAATTGCTATTGCATTAAAAAATATTGCCATTCTTTTCTCAAATTCCATGCATTTTTTTCTGTCAAAAATCTTAATGAGAATTTCTCCACTAAAGAGAGTTTTATAGATATTTCCATATTACAAAAATAAGGCTAAGCCCACTCACAGGTCCTTTCTTTTCTTTCTTGTCACCTCTTCATTTTGAAGATTTTCTCATAATGTGTAGGATAGAGTTGAGAGGCAGTGTGCTCAGATGTACAGAGCCTGGAAGAAAGAGTTTGTAAGAATGGTAGAGCTCTGTCCTGGAGGATGTTCTGTGGCCTCTGGGCCTGAAATGCTGTGCTCCTCTTCTCTTCTCAGCCTCCTCGGCTTCTTTCATGGCGTCTTCTGCAGCTCCTCTGAATGCCGTGCCTTCCATCTGCTACTCAACTTCAGTTTAGCCCGTACATAGAGCTTGTCTGTACATAGTTGTTTGCATGTTGTCTCTCCCATTCGATTGTGAGCTCCTTGAGGGCAGAGACTGTCTTCCCTTTCCTTGTATCCCCAGTGCTTAGCACGGTGCCTCTGGTGCATAGTAGACACTTTATAAATGTCTGTTGACTGATTTTCCCTTCCCTTCTGAGGTACAGTATCAGAAATCAGCTGGCAAGGTGCTTCAAGTACCAGCGTAGACATATTCAGAAGACAAATAATTGGCAGGTGGGACGTTAGTGGGGATGCGAAGGAAGCCAGGGAGGCCAGGAGGCAGAGATGGGGAGAGAGAATGGTGCAGGGGTGGGGACAGTATTTTTATTTAGGCAGAATGCACATCATTGAAACCTATTATAACTTTTCATGATTATTTTACCCTCTCTTTCAAATCAATGGACTAAAGCGTTGTTTTAAAAACAACAACTTATTTTCATTATAAAACTCATAAAGTTCTTCAGTGTAATCATACCTATTAAACATGGACTGACATAGAGTTCCTGAGTTATACTTCTCAAATTAATTTTAAATTTATTTTCCTGCAGTCTTTAGATGACCTTTCAAGTGTATCTTCTGATGACTCGGTGCAACTCCATGCTTATATTTCTGATACCGGTAAGAACTTTTGTATTAGAAATGGTCATCCCACCTTCTTTCTCTTTTCCTTAGTATTTTGTGTTGATTTTTAAATGGTGCTGATTCATTATTCAGAGAATTATATACATACTCATTCTTTTCTTTCCCAAGCCATCAAATGTCTAGCCTTTTGTTTGTGTTCAGTATTGTTTTTTAAAAGTTCTGCTTAATTCTGTACTCTGTCTTTTGGGAATATTATGCCTAGAAGGTGTGGGCCCTTTCCTCAACTTTCTAAACCCGTTTTTTCAGCATTTGAAGATTAAGTATTCAGACCATGCAGGATGTCCCATTTTTCACCAGTAGAACAAAATGCCATCTCATTTTTCTTCTCCTACCCTTAGTCCAGCAGGCCTGTGCATGCATACTTTGAGAGGTCCCAGTCTATATTGGAGAAAAAGGGAGCCCTTATGTGCAGTGGATTGAGGCATTGGTGGGTAGAAACAGGCATCTCTGTTGGTCAGTGGAGCCAGAGAGGCACAGAAGAGACCGGCAGAGCTGTTCTTTATGTTTTTTCACTTGGCTTTCCAGAACAGCTGTATTTTTCACATTGCTTTGTGAGGTCAAAAAATTTCTGTTCACATTTTCTCTGAGGCTGTCACTTTGAAAAACATTTGCTTGGCATGGCTTTTTGCTCACAGGCCCTTGAAAGCTTGAAGGGACCTTAAGGAGATCACTCAGCCCTTTCATTTCACAGATGAGCAGGTGGAGTCCAAGAAATAGGGTTACACTTGATCATGATTCAAGCTTTTATTCCTTTACGAGTGAGTGAAAAAACATTAAGTGCTCATTCTGTCCAAAGCCTTGTGCTCGGTGCTGAGGATGCAGAGGGAGAAGTACCCCCAGTCCCTCTGCGGGGGCCGATTGTACATTGTGCATGGGGGGGCGCGGGGGGCTTCAGCTGCAGGTCACAAGGGAAGGGTCCCGGGCCCTCCGCGGTGGCAGCACAGATGTCATGCAGCCTCCTGAATGGCATCCCCACAGTTTCTGAGGTGGAGCCATTTGATGGGGCCAAGAACGTCCTTTTTGGGTCTTCATTCACTGTCTTTGTGGAGGAGGCCCTGGGGCATCGGCACCTGCAAAAGCAGCGGCTGGGCTTCGCCTCCTGGGTCACCTCAGGCCCTGTCTGGGTGGCTGAGCTGGAAGGAGGCAGCTCAGACTCAGGGAAGCCGCACGTTGTCTCCATCATGGCTTTCATGTGCTCAGCCCCACTCCTTCAGGGTCTGTTCGTGAGATTGTACTTTGACAACCTCTTGATCCAGGGTCGCTAACGATGTCCTTATTGCTCGGTTAAGTGACCGACTTTTAGTCCTTTCTGTCTTTTACCTCTTAGTAGTACTAGTGATACTGTTGTGTCCCCAGCAGTTCACGTAGTAGGCACTTAATACCTCTTTATTGACTGTTGAGTATCCTTTGGTCGCTCTGAGGTGAGCTCCCGTCCAGACTCTTCTCCTTCTCTTACAGTCATCGTTCCCCTAGAATCTGAGCTGAATCAGGAGCAGGCTCTGAGGCTTGGGGCTTTGTGTGGCCTTTCTGTCTCTTTGAGAATCCCAGTCACTCTCCTGCTTCAAGAGTCTGGGCCCACAGAGTATTTCCGGCTCCACGGTCCAGCCGTGGTATTGTGCGCCAAGCCCGTGTTCCAGCTGCTTCTCCTTTCTCAGATTCACTCCCCCACCTGAATTGGATACTTTCTCCCTGACTGTCTGGAATTTCTTTCAGGAACCATCGTGTTTTGTAGTCCTTCAAATCCTAGCGTTAACTTTCGCCCGGCTTTGACGCCTCTCCCATTTTCACTTCCTGTATCTTGTCATGGAGCCCTGGTGTTTCTTTGAACTGGTGGCCTTCCCTTCTCTTCTCATTGCTCAGACCTCACTCTTCATTGCCTCCTTTCTGGACTTCTGCCATAGTGACATCATTAATTTCCTTCCCTCACAAATGCCAGGGGACTTCCCAGAATGGCATTCTGGCCATGTCTGGGCTGTACTTGAGAACCCCCAGTGTTTCCCTGTTGTTCACGAGGCAATGTTTAACTATGAAAAGGCAGAGGAAAGAACTGCAATCTGTGGGAGGAACACCCCCTCGCTGGGGGACGGCTGCTCAGATCATTGTGCGAAAAGAAGAGACCTCCCGTGCTCTTCCCCGCGGGTCCCAGGCCCCCTTTACAGCTTCTCTTTCTGACACCGACTGTCTCCTTCAGTCGATTCACTCTCCCCTTAGCAGATGACCTGTTGCTGCTTTCCTCCAGTGGGAGCTCCGAGGCTCAGCTGAAGCACCCCAAGGCCTGGCCTGGTGGGGACTCGCTCTAAACGCCCGTAGTCCGTTGTCGCTGTTAATTCTCCAGCACCACATTCTCGTGCCTGGCTGTCACCTTTGCCCAACTCAGTGTAAACCTTTTGGAGCTGGGTCTGTGACCTGCCACACCACCGCCCTGCTATGCACGTTGTTCAGACTACTCAATAAATATGCATGAAGTGAAGAAAGATCCCTGTTGGAGAAGGTTCGAGTTTCCTCTTCAGATCATTCCTCTTCTAATAAAGATGAATTTCTTACCACCTTGTCTCTTCTAGCGTAGGCTAACGTTCTCTTATTCTACTTTATAACAGTTTTAACTAATTGTCTCACTCTCTGTGGAGTCATTCCTCAGCCTTATCCTCTGCTTGCTAAATAATTTAAAATCCTGATGCCTGAATATTGTTTTCTAAGTTTATATACAGATAACAGTCCAGATGTCAGAATGTTATCTAAGATCGCTCTCAACCCTAGGTCAGGTTTCCTTTGGCGGAAAGTTCAGTTTCATGTGATCTTTTAATGAAATGAAGAAGTTTCTGGAAAAATATTTTCCTAGTGTTCTACTTAAGTTCATTTCACAAATTGTCCTTTAATTGCAAAGTGATTTGCTTTTTCGTTAATATTGTGGATTTTTTCTCACTTTGTTATCAGTGTAATACTCCCAATTTTGTCATTCGGTTGTCCTGCGTGGAATTTTGTTTTAGGGGTATATTCTTGGGAGCTTCTGATGCTTTCCATGATTGGTGGAGGTTAGTTTTTTTTGTTTTTTTTGCGTATTGTTAAAACATGGGAAGCCATTGGCACAGCGTGTGAGGAGGCTGGGCATGAGTTCAAGTGCTGCCTCAGTGGCTCATGAGCTCAGTGACCCTGGGCAGCTCACTTTACCTCTGTGTGCCTCAGTTTTCCCATACACAAAGTGAGGGTAATAATAACACTTCCTTCCCAGCGTGGCTGCTAGGGTCAGATGAGCTTTGACATTACTGTATGGACAAGACAAACTCTCGGAGTGTGTCTGGCTGTTCCTGAAATGGGACCTTGGTAGCCTAGTGCTGCTCACCGCAGCGTGGCTCCGGTAGCAGATGCATGCTGGCCACCCTGCAGGACGGTGGAGGACCTAGAGACTCGCTGGCATGTGTGGAAGGGGATTGAACATCTTCTGGCCACAGCAGATGATGCCAGAATGGGGCTTTTGGGGGAGGTGGGGGCCAGATCAGACCTGGGCAGCCCCAAAGTCTCATCTCTTGGCCCAGGTGATAGACAGGAAACCAGGAGTGGGTGTGAACCAGGTCTGTTCTTAGAGACTGAGTTTTAAATGTGTGGAGATGGGACTGGCCTTGAATTGACCAGAGTTTCCTTCATTCTCATGATTTCTTTTTCTATATTTCTGTGCCGAGAAAATTGGAACAAGGCAGAATTTGCAGATCTAAAATGTGTCAGTTAATCAGAAGCTAAAATTTTCAGTGACAAGCTACTCTTAATCTTTTTTTTCCCCTTGGCTGCTGAATGCACCATGTATAGTAACCCCAAGTAGAATGTTACTGTACCATGGACTTTGGGTAGCTGTTGTTGCAGTTATAGAAGCCTCAGTTGTTACGAAGATACTTTAAGAGGGATGAAATCACAGACCTGCTCAGACACAGAGACGTCGTAAATAGACGGGCCGACAGGAAGGCAGACACCTTTTGTTTGTTTTTTGTTAAACGTTTTTTGTGACACGCTGTGCTTTGGGCTTGGTACTAAACACTGAAGAGCCACAGCGTAGAGGACAGAGGGCCTGAGGCGTTACCTCCTGCCTTTCCAAGCCAGGACAAGGGGCTCTTACCAGGTCTCCAAGGTGTGTTTGTCAGGGCTCTGTTCTTTCCTCCAGCCGAGAGCCACTTTGGTTTCTTGGTAGCAGCCATCATCACTTTTAGGGAGCATTTTACGGTCATCACATTTTCTCCTAGGTGGTTACTGAAAGTATTATTGTCTATTCCCATATTACAGATGAGGAAACTGAGGCCCTGAGTAACTCCAGTGGTTGTACCAATTAGCACAGCTGATAAGTGTAGATTTTATTGTATTTTTCCTTAATTTGAGCATTTTTGCTCACGTCCTCCCACCTGCCCTCTCATCCCCCAGATACTCCCCGCCAAAAAAAAAAATTTGGAGTAGAATTCCAGAGTTTCAGACCTTTAATTAGTCATTAGGAGGAGGCAGTTTGGTATTTTGGGAAGAACATGGGATTCGGCATTAGGTGCTGGGTTCAAATCCTTGTTTTGCTACTTGTTCCTATGTGGCCTTGAACGTGTCCTGTAAGGCCTCAGTTTCTTTTCTGTAAAAGGAGTGGGTCTCTGAGGTCCCTTCTGGCTGTGAATGCCGTGGTCACTGTTTGACGCAAAGTCTATAATGAGTAACGTTTTTGTCTTGTTACCACATTAAGTGGGGCACCTGTTTAACGTGGTTAGTTTGGGTGCATTTCCTTTTTTGCTTTCTGGAGCCCTTGGGGTTTTGTTCTGTGACTGAAGCAATGCTCCTGCTTTGTTTCAGTTAAGTTTTCTGTTTCCAAGTTGTCAGATTATTTGACGTAAGTGTCAATGTTTCATGTTCAGATTGTTCGAGTGGCTGACGGGCGTCACCAAATCTAGTTCTCTTAGTTATAAAGACAGATTCAGAGCTCAGTGTACAAATCCAGGACCCCCTGACTGCTTTGGCTTTTCCAAATGACACACGCTTTTGTGGTCCCTTCATGCTGATGCGTCAGCCCTGCTGTTTCCTGAGGCTGGGCCTCACACTGAGTTTATGCCATTCTGTACCAGACGGGTTTCGTCCACCTTACAATTGAAAACCTAATTTAATAAGCTTCCTGATAACACTTTATATGTGACCAATTAACATATGATGTTTCTAAGTGTTCCTTTGCCTTTTCAACTTGAAAAAATCTGCAGCTGTGTCTCTTCCTTTTATACTTTCCTTTAGAATCTCACTCCCTTTTCCTTACCTTCTGATTTCTGTCACAAAACATCTGGCCCTTGATAGCAAGCAGATTTTGAAATTTCTCCCACCAGACTTCTCCCCCGCCCCCATTGTTCTCGTCCCAGGTCTTGTTATGGAAAATCTTGTTTCACAAAACAAGTGATAGGGGGCAGCTAGGTGGCACAGTGAATAGAGCACCGGCCCTGAAGTCAGGAGGACCCGAGTTCAAATCTGGCCTCAGACCAAACACTTGACACTTACTAGCTATGTGACCCTGGGCAAGTCACTTAACCCCAATTGCCAAAAAAACAAAACAAAACAAAAAAATAAAACAAGTGATAGATGAAATGTGACTTTCTTGATGGAAAACTTAAATTATTTAATGTTTGGAAAGATTTAGGGTTAGGGTTTAAGATTAAATGTTGCTAAAAGTTAGAATTATAGCCTCATGTGCTGGAAACCATTTTTCTAAGAATAGTTTTGACTTTTCTTTAAACTGAGGCATATAATCATAGTAAGAAAAAGCCCTGTATTTGAGTATAAAGGGTGTGCTATTCAGGTGAAATTTATTTAGAATCTCTTGGTCACCATAGTTCCATGTTTAGTTGTGAAGAGCACAGGTGCTGATGAGGCACATGGCTTCCTGGGCTGTCCTTCCCCATGGAGCTTTTTCCCTCGTTGTGCCCTGGTAGGGAGTGAGATCGCATCAGTTAGATGCAAAGCATCGTCTTTACCTGCTAAGGGACGTTGTATGTCTATAACGTTTATAGGTAACAGGATTTTCCAATTTGAAATGTCTTGTGTGCCCAGCAGTATGCTAAGAATGCAAGCGTGTAGGGAGGCACCCTTAGAGAAATAGTTACTCTTAGCCATCATTTAACAGGGTCACTGAAAAAAACCACAGCCAGCCCCCACGACCTACCTGCGCCTCGACGGCACTCCGCCAGAGCAGAGGCAGCTTCCTCCTGCAGCTGTGGGCAGGGCAGCGGTCCACTCTGTTGAGTTCCCCAGTCATCGTTGAGGCCGCCGTGTGTTCCAGGATGTTTTCAGAGGGTTGGGTAGGGCAGTTTACGTCTTTGGTCGTCCTCCTTTTGGCTGAAGAGATTGTGTTTGAAAAGCAGTTGGCCAAGCACCTGAGACCCCTAGGACTAGTGAGTGTAGGATCCCAGAACTTCACAAGGATGGTGTTTCCTCGGGGTCTTTTAAGGACATTTCAGTCAGAATCATGAGCCTGCCGGATGGGCTCCCAGGCCAGCCCTTCCCCCGTCGGCTCCTTCCTTGTAGACGGTAGCCATTGGATGGTAGTTGCTGTCCTGTGAGGAGGTTTGGGCATTTTGTGTGATCCTTTACTGACGTCCATTTGTGTCTCAGCCTCTCATTTCAGACTCTTCCTCATTTCATGATGTCTTTTTTTGTCCTTTCGTTTTCCTCTTTCGTGTGTTTTGTTTCTCTTCCTTTTGTTCTAAATGACTAGTCTGTGCTGACTGTGACCCCTATGCTGTGGCAGGCGTGTGTAATGACCATGGCAAGACGTACGCATTGTACGCCATCACTGTGCACCGGCGTGGCCCCAACAGTGACGAGATCTGGAAGACCTATCGCCGTTACAGCGACTTCCATGACTTCCACATGCGGATCACGGAGCAGGTACGGAGACGTGTTGGTTTGTTTGTTTGTTGTTCTTGAGTGGCACTGAGTGCCTCCTCCTTGGGGGCGTGTGTGTGTGTGTGTGTGTGTGCGTGTGTGCGCTGGAGGAAAATGGTGGCCAAAGTGGATGCCACCCGTGTGACCAGGCCGGTCAGCCTCTCGGGACTCGTCTTCTCCATCTCCGAGTGAGGGGCTCGCACAGCCCTGTTTCTGAGGTCTTCGTCTGAGAGCCTCTGAGCAAGCCCTTTTAACTCTCAGAGCACTCAGCCTCTCATGATCTAGGTCTCTGCGTTTTTGACAAGGAACATTTTAATGATAATTAACAGACAGGCTGATATTATACATGTGTCAAGTAGAAAAAAATTCCCAGAATTTGGTTTCACATGCCTTTTAGATTATATGTACAAACCAGTAACATTCAAATATCCTGGGAGTACTTTCATTTGGCAATTTAAATGTTTTATTATTTCTAAATATGAGCAACTAAAACTGGCAGCAGACTTGTTTAGACCCTCATTTGATACCCCCTAGGTAGAAATATCATTTCTTTGTACCCAGCACTAAAATATTTCTGTGAAATTGATATAGGGTAGTAAGTTTTTGAATGGGCTTTATACAGACTAGTTCAGTTGTTTAGCCATTGTCTTTTCCTCCGTAGACTGCTCTGCAGAAGTCTAGCAGAAGGGATTTAGTTTACTTGTTGAATTGGTCACAGAGCTGAAGAAATAAAAACTGAGCTTGAGAAAGGAGGATTTCAGTTGAAGTGCAGGACCTGTGTGGTCAGAGGCTTAGCCAGCTGTTGACTGTACTTGATACTCTTAGACAGCCTACCTTTGATTGCCTGCCCTACAGTCACATGCTCTTAACCCCCATAAAATAATAGAAGGAAGAATGTCAGAACCTGTGATGTTGCCATGGGTACAAAGTAGGACCTGTTGACATAAGTGTTAGCTTCCTAGGGCTCTGATGGCAGCAGAACCCCTTTGAAGGTGCCACAGTTGGAGGGAGTTACTTGGCTACAAAAAACTTTCATTTTAAAAGTGTATGAACTATAGTGTGCAAATCAGAGCAAAATTATTGACTATGGAAATAGCGGGTGAAAAGTTTTATCAATGAACTAAAAGAGTTATTTGCAAGAACAAATCTAGCAGAATTTAGCCTGGATTGTACAAACATGGCATAAATTGCTTGTGGTATGTGTATTGTGAGTGTAGCAATAAGAGAATTTGAGATTGGGGGATGTTAGCAGCCCCTCACTCCAGTCCCTGCTCAAGAGCATTACTCACGGTAAGATACCTGACAGGTGAGTGTGTGCCTCTGTGGGAAGACCTCCGAGGAAAGGGAACCCGCCAATTCTGCAGATGTGGAGGCCAGTCCACGTTTCGGTAGCCGGAACACTAGGGAATTTTGTTCTGGCATCACGTCTACAATTGATACTGATTCCAGCCTCTGGGGCTTAACAGACATCTCCTCCCTCTCCCCTGACAGCCTTTCAGATTACTTGAAGACAGCTCTCAGTGCCCCCAAATCTTTATTTCTGCTTGTCTGTCCTCAGTCCTTCTGGATGTGGACTTGGGCCCTTCGCTGTCTCCCTGTGGCCTTCCTGAATGAACACAACCCTCTAGGCATGGTCTGACCAAGGCAGAGTGCAGCAGGACTTTCCTCTTGTCATTCCTGGAAGTTTTACCTCTTTTAAAGTAGCTAGGATGGCACTGACTTTTTGGGCAGCCTCTTCACACCTCCTGCTCCAAGAAGTGTTGTTTAGGTGAGGTGGATCTTCTGAACCGAAGACCACTGTGTAATTATCCCCGTTGCAGTTCACCTAGGAATGGTGCCTGTCAAGATCACTGGGGTCCTGGCAAATATGGTGACTGTTTGGGGTTTTCTTATGGTAGAATTTGAGATTTCATTGAAGTAATTTGGGGAGGCGTGTGAATTGAGTCCGCATCGAGACAGTGAAAGTCTCTTAGAAAAATGTCTTCATAGAAATGTTTTCCTTCATTGTTCAGCTGGGCATGACTTGACTTCTTTCTATTTTCACTGTTGAAAGATCGAGTCATTTTCTTTGAGAGGCCTAAGGAAGGACACAAATAAGGTTGTACCTTGTGAGATATTAACGGGTTCCTGTTCTTAAATGAGATTATTGTTGCATGGCATGCATATTTATAACTGAGTGGAGAATCTTAGAAAACCAGCTAGTCAGCATTTCACAAATATTAAGGATTTATCATTTTCATTAGAGTACTCTACATTTGCATTATTTTGATAAAGCCTAGTGAGGAATAAACCTCTTAGTTTCTAAACATAAACTGCTGGATTCCAAAAGTTTATCCATGTAATTACATCTCGACGTGAAGTTCATTTTTAAGTTTCATTTTTATGGGTGGTGATTCTTCATGGAGTCCCCAAGTGTGTCTAAGATTCAAGACAACTACATTAGAGAAAACTCTTAATAATATTCCTTTAGGGTTTTGAGATTAAAAAAAATACTATTAAAATCTAGGTTGTTTCTCTTCTTTAAGAAGTGATATTTGAGTATCAGTGTTAGAGCTATTCCTTTAAAGTACTGAAGACGTATTCTGTTTTCTTTAACATTACTCATTTCAGAATGTCTGAAATAAATTGATTTTATAATGGATAAACTACCCTGTGAAATTGAATAAATTCATTCATATGACTTGAATAAAAAGCCATTCGAAGAATTAATAGGTGGAACCCAGGTACTGTGAAGACTGTCTTGCCCCCGCCCTTTCCCTCTTTCTCCACTCTTACCGCGGTGCCTCACTGCCATCCCTGAGGGAGTGTTTGCTGACAGTGAGATCAGATCCCGATTTAGGTGCGATCCAGCTGGAAGGGACCTCAAAAGCCGATCCTCCAGCTCCACCCTGAACAGGAATCCCCTCTCACCTGCAGGCAGTCACCCAGCCTTTGCTTGATGACCAGTGATGTGGGGGGCACCTGTAGCCTCTCAAGGTAGCACTGATTGTTGGTATGCTCGGCCTCATGGCACCAGTTGCCTATTAGATGTTCATCTCTGCTCAGAAAGCCTCTACCTCGATGATTCAGTCTCTAATCACCTTTAGCCTAAACTGTTGCAGTGGCCTCCCTGCCCAAGTCTTATTCCAGTCCATCTTCCATACTATCCCCAGTGGTTTTCCTTCAGTTCAGTTCTGATTGCGTCACTCAGTAAACCCCACTGGCTCCCTGTTGCTTCTCCCAAAATGTGAGCTATGAACTTATCTGCTGAGCCTTTAAAGCCCTCCCCGGCCTGTCCTTCCAGCCTTGTGGGGCCTTACTTCCTCCCTGCCCTTAGGGCTGGCCAGATTGGCCCTCCGGGTTCCCTCCCACATTGCGATGACTTCCCATTTTAGCTCCTTCACTCTGGTTGGGCCTGACCTAGAATACCTCCCCTCACACAGTCCTTCTCTTCCTCAAAGATGCCACTGCCCAGGGCCTCATTCTGCATGAAGCCTCATCTCCCTCGATGCTTATTGATCGACTTCCTGATGCCCTTCCATTTGTTTGTACTTGTTCTGTTTATGCTTAGTGTGTGTGAACCTGGACGTGGGCTCGTCCTCTCCCCCTTCTAGAGTATAAGCACCTTATCTTGGTGTGCCTGGCACACAGCAGGTGCCGCATAAATGCTTGATGATTAGATGTTCCAACAATGGCTGTTCTTCAGCTCCAGCCGTTCAGTCAGTTCTAGTTGAAGCCAGATGGGTTCTTTGGAACCGCTTCCTCCTTTTCTAGATGTTCATAAACCCCCCCACTAGTGATATTTTGCAGAATTTTTCAGGGAGTTAAAGTCAAGCTCATTGGCCTACGGTTTGTGAAAATGAGTATCTCTCCTGGTTGACACAATCTTTCAGAGCTCGCGGCCCATGTACTCAGCGGCCCCACCCGTCTGCTTTAGGTCCTTTAGGATGCGGTAGAGTGGGGTCATCACAGCCGGGTAACTTGGCTCTTCGAGGGTACTTGACTAGGTCATCAGCTCTCAGTCATTTTGGTCTTTTCCAATCCCAAGACAGTTGGTCTTGGTGAGGAAATAAAAACATGATGGGACTTGAGCAGCTCTTACCTCTTTCTTTCTTGTTACATTATCCTTGGTCCATCCACCTGGAAGTGTTCACGGCCCGTCTGATGCATTTTGTTTTAAAGAACTGTGCTGTGGTTTCTTATTGCTCCTGTCTTACCCACCCTTGCTTCCATGTTTTATAAAAATTTTGTAAAAGTCCAAGTCATTTCTGTAAAAACCTATCCTTCTGCTATTTTAGAAGCTATTTGTATAAATTGTTATTCCTGTGAAAGATATTTATTTCCAAGTCAAAAGGTAATATAAAATTAACTTAATCATTGTGATATATGACATTACAATGCCCTGTCTTCAGAATAGATGCGCTGTTTTTGTCTCAGTATTGTCCCTTAGGTCCAGGAGAGTGTTTCTTTAGAAAAGTTGGTTCTTTGTTGCAATGATACAAATCTTATCTACTTTTGTATATAGCAAAATAATGAATTTTAAGAGATAAACATTGAATATATTTTGTATTCTAGTTTGAGAATCTGTCAAGCATTTTGAAACTCCCTGGTAAAAAAACATTTAACAACATGGACCGCGATTTTTTAGAAAAGCGAAAAAAGGACCTAAATGCATATTTACAGGTAAGGGTATTGACCTTATCTTGTCATTTAAATCATAGCAAAAATGTATAGGAAGCTTCTTTTTTCTTGAAAAGCTTGGTTAGAATGTCCATTTATAAGAACCTTTCTGCAGGTTTGATTTTAAGACTTCCTTCCTCAAATGTCAAATGAAAAATTAGAGGATTGGGCAGAATGATCTTTGAGGGCCGTGGCAGCTCTGGAGCGCTTTGAATTGCTAAAGCCACATTCCTTCTCAGTACTGTAACATGTAGAGGTGTTAGAATAAGCTAAAAAGTGTCCAGAGCTTGTGACCCATCCTTTTGGTGACTCTCCATAGGATGTGAAAAGAGATGGGCATCTTCCATTCTAGGAATATCAGTACCCCACCCTTTGAGCTGGGTGTCCCCTTCTGTAGTCTGGAACTTGTCATCTGACTCCAGGCTCGGAGATTGTAGGCCGATTTGGGTTTTTATTCCTTTTCTCTAAGATCTCCTCACAATGATCAACATGGGAATGACTCTCTTTAGGGTATGTTAGAACTCTCTTTGGATTTTCTTGGAAGTGTCCTAACTCTTGGGGGACACCCAAGGACTAACTCTCATTCCTTGGAGGGCTGTGATATAGCATGGGTATCTGCTGCTTCATAGGACAGGCTGTTCTGAAGATGTCACAGGTGGTCTCAACTCTGGGCAGGTGTGATCCTTCCGGTGCCTGGCATCTGTTCTAACACCATGCCCCCACAGCCTGGCAGAGATCAGAACCTACCCAATATTACACAGCTGACTTCCTGTTCTAATTTATAAGATTGAATAGTCTTTCAAATTCATATATTCTAAAGTTAGGTCGAATTGATTATTCCAAGGAGGTGAGTGGATTCTTAAGTAATTTGTAATTCTGAAATGACTTCTTTTTACATTTTTTATCTCACCACATTATTTAATAAATTCATTGGTGTATTCATTTCCTGAGTAATTCGTTGTATTAAAGGAACAAGATCAACGAGAAGTATTAAGTGAGGATGTTAATTCGAGAAGTCTAGGAATCCTGAGAACAATGTATTCATTTTCATCTTGGTCATATAATTGGTTTTCAGATTGATGATTGTTTTTCCTTTTTACATGACAAATCCATTTGTGATTATCCTGTCTACTTATGATATTGTCTTCTACGTGATTTTATGGAAGAGAACTTAAGACATGCATTCCTAACTAGAAGTGATAAAACTTAAAAAGGGGCAATATTTTGAAAAATGAATATAGCTGTAAACCTTCTCCCCTAAGCATTTTGTGAATAAAAGTAACTGTCACCACTCAAAGTGAGTTCTTTTAGAGGACACTGTACAGAGTACTTCTGGTTGTGCTGTCAAATTTGTAAAAATGTTATGAGCTCCATTTTTATTTAAAGTGACATTTTGCTTTTTTAGTTATTATTGACACCTGAAATGATGAAAGCTTCTCCTGCCCTGGCTCCCTACGTGTGTGACTTTCTGGAGAACAAAGCCTACAGCAAAGGGAAAGGGGATTTTGCTCGCAAGGTGAGAAGCTGTTAGGACGCTGTGGGCTGGAAGTGTGACGTACTCTTCTGTACAGAAATGGGGAACTTTTAAGGAGGCATTTATTGTTTAAGTTCTGTTTTTAAAGTAACTAGTGGTTGTTGTAGAGCAGTCTTTATTTCAGCAGGAACTCAGATTACCTAATTTACTCCGTGTGGTCTCCCGTTGACGTCTGCACGCGCTCTTGCTTGGTGTCTCCCGGCTAGACCGTAAGCTCCTTGTAGGGAATGTGTATGTGTGTGTGTTCCTCCCTCCATCTGAACTCACCTCTTGGATGCTGCTGCCGTTCAAAGGGAAGTTCCTCCAGAGACGTTCAGACACTGGAGATCTTCTGCCCTCCTTCTAGACCCTCTGTCCACACCATGTCATGTAGGTCGCCTGGGTATTTCTGCTTTAAGTGGGTCTGTGATCTCATGTGGACGAGGCCCCTTATCCAGGAGATTGCACGTCCATCCAGTGGGCAGGATCCACGTGGGGCTGACCTCCAGGACTCAGAAGGGGGGATTACGTGAACGGAGAAAAATTCATACGGAGGGAAGATCTCAGAACAAAACGGGGCTTTCCCTTGCCCAGGGAGACTGGATGCGCCAATTTTGTCTTTTGTTCTGATACCCTGTGATAGGTGACTTTCATCGTGGGCTTTACGGTTGACCACTGGCTTGTAGGCAGCTGCCATTTGACTCTCACAACAACCCTGAGGAAGGTGCCACGAGAGGTTTTACAGCTGAGGAAACTGAGGCTGTCGAGTGACTTGATCAGCATCACACAGTAAAAACTGAATCTGGGTCTTCTTGACTCCCAGTCCATTACCGTCTCTTCTCTACCAGTGATGTCAGACCCTGTGGGCCACATATTGGCTCAGAAAATATGTTACCATTCTCTGTGTCTGTCGTATTTTTGTTTATTGTGTTAAGCATTTCCCAATTACTTTTTAATCTGGGGGGTTTTGTGAGTGCATGTGTGCTACCTCTGCTCTATTTTCCTCATCCTCTCAGTGAAAACTGTGAGCCAAAGTGCCACATTCCTTCACACATCAATGTGAGCATGGCCTTCAGCAGCTCAGATTGCCACCACTCTGCAGGTCAATAGACGGTCTTTAGGAGTCAAGGCAGCTGAAAACTGTACCACCACCACCCCACCCACCCCCAGCCAACCTAGTCAGTAGATAGTAAACATTTATGAAGCACCTACTATGTGTCAGGCGTTGTGTAAAGTGTGGGGGATACAAATACAAAAAGAGAAAGGGGGAGTGGAGGTGGGAGGGATCCTGAGGTGGGCTGGGGAGAGCAGTCAGCCAGAGAACAGATGTGTCGTCGGTCCCTCTATCCAAAAGCCTTTTGAGTTTCATCGAACTTAGTGCAATTTGCACTCCACCGGCACGTAAGGTCACCTAACACCATGAAGCATGGGATAGGACTGGAGTGAAAATCGGTCTGAACAGAACAATACAGTCATTTCTGATTAGGTTAGGACTCAGGCAAGGAGCAAAGAAAAATGGTGACAGAATCCCAGGGTTATAGGGTGAGCTCTGCTCAGGACCCCAGGAATACCCCAGGTAGCTGGACACAGAGCCAGTGAAGTCAGCGGCACAGCCCCAGGTTCCAGGGGCTTCTGGCCAGCCACACCGGAGCAAAGTGGAAACGTCCCCAGACGTTGTTGAGGCCTACGGGAGACGCCAAAGCAATGGCAGTTAACATTGCCCTAAGACTTTGGGGACACCCTGTATAGAATGGACCCAGATGTGGTAAGAATGCCGGAGTGTCATGCCAGTGTTGAAACTATTGGATATGTAAACATTACCAACGCAGTAAGGCTAAGCACAATTGAAATAAAGTGTGGTGCCTTTCAGGTTTTGGCTAGCCCTAATGTCATCAACATCTCTTCTGAATAGAACTAGGTATGGCTTCCAAGTCATGGGGGAGCTGTCCCAGAGTAGCTTCTCAATGACTGGAAGTCTCAAGAATGACAAGTGTGGGGCTCTCCATCGCCTTCATTCTTTGGTCTTTGGGACTTACAGGTGGACCGGCTGCCCATTCAGCCACAGAATCTTAGGCACATGTGGGACCTCAGAGGATGCACCTCCACAGGTCAGTGACAAGTGCTGACTCAGCCTTGTTTAGTTTGGCTAAAAAGCAAAGCAAGCCAAAAAACGACACATGAAACCGCTTTGTGGTTTCTGTGAAAGCTCTCCAGGTACCCTCAGGATGTCATTTGAACTTGATAAGAATGTAATCCAGGGAACAATAAAGACAGATATCTTTGAGTTTGAATCAGGAAACCCAACAGATCTTTTGGAAAAAGACGGTGCTTATAAATCTGAACTTCTCCACACAAGATGCACTGACCACAGAATTGACAGGGAGGCAGTTATGATCATGGGTGTCGAGGGACTTGATGGCATCCTGAGCTCAAAGTGCGACAGGAGGAAGATATTTAGAGCAGTGGTGACTTCTTCAGTAGCTACTTAATTAAACGTGATGGAAGGCAGCAGAGGGGACCAGTAACCATACAGTCTTCTGAGGCCCACCAGCCCAAGGCATCCATAGAGAAAAGAACGTTTCTTTTTCAAAAGGGAGGAAGAAGACTGATAAACATTAATTGATTACATGGTGAACAAGTTAAAATTTACAAAAATGCCTGGCCTGCATAGGTTCCAACGGTGGCAGTGCACGGGAAGGCAGCAGTCAGGGGGCCGTGAAGGCTTTTGTTGGGGGCGGCCCCGGGTCAGGACGGGGTGAGTGAGAAGAGAGGGGACCTACACCTCAGCGGATGCTGGCTCTGAGCTCACAGGGCCTGGGAAACATTCCCTGTTGGAGGTCCCCTGGTCATTTCGTATTCCAGGTGTCTGAAGGTAACCAACCTCATTGTCTTCCCCTCAGACCCATCTTTGTATTCGTGGTACCTGCCTTTCTTCCAGTCATCCAGATTCACAGTCTCCTAAGTCATCCTTCACTGTCTCCCCTCTTTGCCCATCCGCATTCTTGTTGATTCCCTTGCCACACAATCCATCATGGCTTGGGGAGCGAACAGATGCCATAGGGTCTGGAACGATAGCCCACGGTCATCGGCAGCCAGAGGCCTCCTGCAGTGCTGAGGCTTCAGTTGTGGAAGGAAGAGCAAGGTGATCATCCAGTTCTGAGGGGGCCGGCCAAGCTCAGTCTGCGCCCTTCTCAGGCAATCTTAAGGTCCCAGCCCCTCATTGGGTCTGTAAAAGGAAAGGTGGCTTTCTGCTGCCCCAGCACCAGGACACTGAGGCCCAGCCCCACTGGGTCTATGTCTCCTGCCTCCCTGGAATCTGAAGCCTGCTGGCAAAGGAAGAATGAGGTCCCTGTGTTCATCAGTTGGGACGCCCATCAGAACTTGAAGAGGGATTAGCATGGCTCCTTCCGCTGACCCCCCCGTGGCTTGATTTCCAGCCTGTCATCGTCCTGTCACCTTCCCTGGAAGCCGTCTGGATCAATAAAGCCCTTCCTGAGAGGTGCTGCCCAGAACTGACCACATCTGGCCTGACTGTGGTAGCATTACTTTAGTCACAGATAGGAGATCACTCATGATGCAGCCGTCGATGGCACCAGCTTTTGGACTGCTGTATCACACTTTTTTTAAAAAAATAAGCTTTTATATGTCTTTTGGCTTTACGTTACAAAATTTGTCCTGGGATTACTAAAATTTTGCCCCTTCCAGATAACTATTTCATGTAACAAATTATCATTATTTAAAGAAAAAAATAAAAAGTAAAAAAAAAAAAAAAGCATTACATTGGAAAAGTCTGAGATATCTGCAGTGTTGGACACAGGAATACCTCCCACTTATGCAGGGAAATGGGTGTGGGGTGATCTTTTCCTGTCTCTTCCGTGAGGCCAAGTTTGCTCTTTGTCAGGCTGTAGCATTCCCTGCTGATTGTCAGGGGCTGGTTCTGTCTGCCTCCACTGTCAGGGGTCATGCTGACTTCACTCTGCATCAATTCATGTAGATTGTACCATGCAATCGTTCCCTGACGTTCATGGACCACAGCCTGTCTAACCCTCCACACTTAATGGGCTTCTCCTTTGTTCCCGATTCTTTGCTCCCACAAATATTTTGGTGTTTGCTAGGGCTTTCTACTTTTCCGTGGCCTCCGTGGGGTCTAAGCCTAGTGGTGCCATCGTTATAATAAGAGCAATAATATAGTATCAGTTAGCATTTGTGCAGCTCTTTAAGGTTGTTGCAGAAATCTCATTTGATCCTCAAAACAACCTTGGGACATAGGTGCTATCCTTATCTCTCTCTTACAGATGAGGAAACTGAGGCAGGCAGAGGTTAATGACTTGCCCAGGGTCACACAGCTTGTAAGCGTATGAGGTTGTATTTAAACTCCCCACTCCAGGCCTAGCACTGTGCCATGAGGTGACTTTTTGGAACTTGAATATGAAACTATTTAGGGGTGGGGACTTGCCTTTGATTTCCTTGGTATGGAGCAGGGCTTCTTAAACTTTTTCCACTTGCAGTCCCTTTTGGTACTGACCCTTTTCAGTAGCGGTACTTGGCATTGCATGACCTGAAGACATGCTCGGTGCAAAGTGCACATGCTGTGGGTTCAGAGCCAAAGCTGCCGTAAAGTCGCAGGATGCAGCACGGGCAGGCGCTGCCAGGAACACCTTGGATTCATTATGCGTTTGATTGTGAATTAATTTTTGGTCCTTGCACATTCTTTTATTGTTGCCAGATTTTCCATGACCCCTACATTCAGTTATGTGACCCCACATGGAGACTTTCACCCTTCATCTTTGACATCATTCCCACTGATAATGTCCTATCAGTGCCTGGTGTTGAATCATCTGACGGGGCCAAGGACTCTGGTGGCCAGAGCCTTCTTTCTTGGGTCTTTGGTAGCTGTGGCTGCTGCCCCCGCAGGAGGGTGAAGGCCCTGGGTTGGAAGCGCGGCCATTCCTGAGGCTTCCGAGCTCAGGGTCTCAGAGGACATGGGGATCAGGGTGGGCGTGGTGATGGAGGAGGAGGGTGTGGAGGCAGTTTGACCTGCCAAGCACATGCTGCTTCCTGCCTCTCCCTCAGGTGAGGGCCCTGCTTCTTCAGTTCCTGCCAGCGCTCCTGGGCATCTCTGTAATGCGGGTGGCTCCCAGGCTTTAGCGCCATTTAAGCTTTTGTACCTTAAATGTCTTAAGAGCTAAGACTTTGGAACGCCCTTTGTAAAAGTATGGAACGTGATATATTTATGAGTAATTATGTGTAATATGTAATAATTCATCAGGTAATGTCTGTAAAGTACTTTGTAAACTTTGAAGTGTAACAATGTGATGACTGGTTGGAAGCTTCCTGCAGCTTCTTCATCCATTCTTAGCGATTGGTTCCAGTTTAGGCCACACGGATTCTCCTTTTTATTTGCTTTACTTTCTGAAAAATGAAAGCATCAGTATAGGATAAGAGCTGCCCAAGGGGAAGCGTGGACGTGAATCCAGACTGACTTTGTGCCATGGCCTTCAGGTTGTTTATTTTTACAGTAAGTTCCCGATCTTGACTAGTTTCCAAAGCCATTCTTTGTGTTTGTCTCATTAAAGTAAATCACAGAGAAGTCCCTTTTTGGAACCTTCAGGTTCAATTTCAGATAAATGCGTACTTACCGTATTTGTTACTTGCACGTCCTGTTTGTTCCACTTTTCTTTATTGTGTCGTCAGGGTAATGTTAGTTTCATCATCATTTTCCGTTATAATTTCCAAGTCTTCTTTCAGGAAGTGATGGAGAATAAGTTGTACATTGAATTTTCTTTTGTGAAAATGATTCCAGAATTTTTAGCCTTATAAATATGTGACAGTCTCTTTGATTAAGTAGTCAAAGCTTGGTGTTATGCAAAATAGTCCCTACTGTACATATTAGCAAATATATACTGAAGACCAAGCCAAGATAATTGTTCCCCATTTGAAATGTTTACCCTGCATACGTTTATAGTGGGAAGTTCCCCTCCAGCTCATACCACATAGGAGTCTTGGAGCAGAAGCATGGGAAGTTGGGGCAGCTAGGAGGCACAGTGGATAGAGCACCGGCCCTGAAGTCAGGAGGACCTGAGTTCAAATCCGGCCTCAGACCAAACACTTGACACTTACTAGCTGTGTGACCCTGGGCAAGTCACTTAACCCCAAGTGCCTAAAATAAATAAATAAAATTTTTTTTTAAAAAATTAAAAAAAAAAAGGAAGAAGAAGTATGGGAAATTAATTGATGGCTATAATGTACCTCGCCAGGCTGCTTAGTTCGAATTGAGAATGCAGTAGAAAAGAAAGTCACTCGTGCTCTTCCTTCCCCTGCAGATGGACACTTTTGTAAATCCGCTACGCAATTCTATGAGGAACGTTTCAAACGCGGTTAAATCTCTTCCTGATAGCTTGGCGGAGGGCATGACCAAAATGTCAGACAACATGGGCAAAATGTCCGAGAGGCTGGGACAAGACATAAAACAATCATTTTTCAAGGTAAGAGTACTTTTCTGGACAGTTTTTCTAAAAGTTTTCTATTCTCAAATCAGTATTTTTGGATAACCTTCATGAAAGATACTTGTATCATTTCCTTATTACTCTTTAATTTCTTCCATGAACAAACAAGATAACATGTTAATACATTTTTTTATGCAGACTTCATTAATGTGGAGGATTCCTTGTAAGGAAACCTCTGCTGGGGGAGACCAGCAGCGATTCTGTTTACTTAGCATAGGGGTGACGTGACTTCCTGGGAGGCGCAGGTAGCGGGCACTCAAACTCAGCTCTTTGGAATTTTGAGGCCGGCTTCTAGACTCTGGCCCCCTGTGATAGTCTTCATTCATCTTGTTATCAGGAGAAGATTTATAAATGGCAAAATTCAGTGCTTCAATCCATTCTGCTATTAAATTATGCAATTTTTTTAGTCATAGACTTACCAGAATTAATTGCACGATAATTAAGTGCTGTGATGACAGTTAAGTTCTAGTCTTCATTCAGATCCTATTAATCCCAGTAAATCCTCGTATTTTAGGTTGCAGTCCAACTGGCCTTTGACAAAAGAGCCTTTCTCTACCATCAGTCTTGGTATTGTTGTGTTCTTACTATAAATGATATTTCAGAATTTGTCAGTCCCATGAAACTGAGTCACACCATCAGTCTGGGTTCATGGAAGGAGTTGTCTTAATATATTTCCAGTTTCTACTTTTGAATTTGAATTTATTATTAATAAGTTATTGTTAAAAATGTTTGCCTCCACAAATTCCTCCTCTGATGCCTTATCAGGATGTGGAGGTGATGCTGAACTTGCCAAGGTTCTGCTGGCAGAATGCCAGCCTTGGTGGGTTCTACCAGCTTGGATAGGTTTCAGGTGTGAAACTGTACTAGGTGGTCTTCTAAGGTCCCTTCCAACTTTAAATTCTGTGAACCTACAAGGCAAATAAAATATGTTATTCAGGAAAAAGATCCTTGGGAAAGATATTTAGCCAGTCAGGTAGCTAAAGGGTATTAAGTCAGCAGCCTTGAAGGCTTCACTGGTACCCACAGGATGTGAAAACCCCAGGATGAAGGCTTGGTCCTCTCTGAAAGGGTTAGGGAAGACCATGAACAAGAGGCTGAGAAGGTGGGGGTGAGTGGCTCACTGGGCTCTTGGGAGGAATGGGTGTTTAGCGGCCAGCCGTTGGAGGAGGAGATGACCTCAAGCAGTTCTTCCTGAAGCTTCTGCTGGAGGCTTTGACCTTATCACTTTCTACCTTGTATCAGACTTGGGTCCGTGCTTTTATCTCCCCCATTGGATCCTGTACATCTTGAAGACATTGGATTGTCTTGTGTGTACAAGAAGGTGCTTAATGAGTATTGGTCGACTTGACTTAACCTTCTCCTCCTCCTCCCCCCTTTCCTATTTAGTGACTTAGTGACACAGATTTTTCTGCATCCCCAAAGGGTCTACTCAAGGCCTTCTTTCCTTGGATTGTTCTTCTGGCTTCATTTACCACTTCTTTGCGCCTGAGTCCTCCACGTAGACTGTTCTCTAATCTCCAGTCTTGAGTCATTAACCGAATTCCTATTAGACTGCCTGCATTTCTTCCCCTCCTCCAGTCCATTCTCTTAAAGGCTGACTTCATCTCTCCGAGATTGGTCTGGATGGGTGAATCAACCCACCCTTGTGTGGAAACAAAGCTGGGCCATCTCTGCTGCCCCACAGCCACCTCTCAAAGGGCATTTAACTGATGGTTTTTTTAACCACTGTCTGAACATCATTAATGTGTCTTCTATTTGAAAGCTATCTGGGAACTCAGCTGCTTTCCAGTTATCAAGTGATATGTGCTCCAAATTGTATGAATGTTTTTGTTTCCTATTTGTGTTGACGAGTAATTTTAAAAATTGTATTCAATGGGTACTGGGTTTTGTAATGTTCTTTTTGTAAGCAGGGCCCATATTATACAAGAAGAAATTTGTGTTCTATCCATGACACTCTTTAATTCTTTGTTGTTTTTGTGTTGTGTTCTTTCTTTTTGTTTGTTTTTTGTTACGTTGTGCTCTTCTGTATATTTATTTATTTTTAATGCTCCTCTTAGGTGCCTCCTTTAATTCAGAAGACAGATTCTGATCCTGAACATTGCCGTGTCTCCGCCCAGCTTGATGACAATGTAAGTGATTTCTTCCTCCCGGTGTTTTTAGTTCATGACTTGAAAAATAATTTGCAAATAACTTTTGCTGACTTCATGCTTACAATTAAATTTCTCTTTTCTCATAAATTATTTTAATGATAAATACTATTAGCCTTTAAAAGACAGTCAAGAAACCTTATTAAGTGCTTACTCTGTGCCAGGCACTGTGCTAAACATGGGAATACAGAGAAAAGCAAAAACTGTCCACGAGAACTTCCCAGCCTCGTGGGAGAGACACCATGTCAGTGACTAGACACATATAGAATACGAACAGGGAGATAGGCATTTGGAGTTAAACTTTGTCGACTGCAGTGATGTCATGTGTATTTAGTGTATTAGAGCAGAGCAGAACCTTCTTGGCCTAATTAGCAGAAAACTTGATGGTTCAAGGGACCAGTCAGCGTGGAGATCCGGTTTGTGTCAAAAAAGTAAAAAAGAAAACAAGATTCTGAGCAAGGCACTGAAACTACTCAGGCCTTTATTTTCTCGTGAATCCTGTTTCCGCAGTGTTTAGATTGCAACATTGATGCAGTGAAGAGAAGGGCTAAGATCTTTTCTCCTTAAGGGTAACAGAAGGAATCTAAAGTTATTCCTGGTGGACACGGTGAGTCTGAGCTGTCCTCTCCCTCACATCCCTGTTTGTCACAACCACCTTTCCAAGGCTTATTAATAGGACTGCAACTGGACCTTGGGAAAAGCCTTTTTCACTGTAATTCCTCATTTCACTTCTGTTTTCTACAGCTTTGGCTGAATCACTTCTAGTTTTCCTACATTTTAAAATTTGTAAACTAAAAGATAATCTTACCAAGACTAATTTTGGTTCGTCTTTGTTGTTTGTCTCAGAGCTGCTGGCTTTATTTGTTCTCATAAAAGGAATTTATTTTCTTCGTTCGTGAATTGTGACTTTGAATTATGAAGTTGGGGCCCATGTTCCCGTTTGCTTTATGCAATAGTTACCAGTGCCCCTGAAAGACTGGTTGAAGGCTTATCAATTCCTAAACATCTTCATTTCTTCAGAGGAGGTCAGAACCTCTTCACTTCAGGTTGTTCGTTTTCTTATGGTAGATTTATGGAATTAATTATAGAATTAAAAGTGAATGGATAATTTTTAATTGACAGCATAATGCTAGTTTCCACTCGGGAGTTAACAGTAATAACAGTGGGAATGACAGTTGACATTTATGCAGTGTTTTAAGATTTGCAAAGCACTTTCCTTCCAGCTACTTTGTGTGGTCAATAGTGTAAGTACCATCGTCCCATTTTATTTATGAGGAAGCAGGCTGTGACGTGAGTTGAATTGCCTGCGGTCGGTCTAACGTGTCATTGTTGTTGTTAAGTCGTTAGTCGTGTCTAACTCTTTGTGACCCCATGGATCACACAGCACACCCCACCCTTCTGTCCTCCACTATCTTTCAAAGTCTGTCTGAGCTCATGTTCATTGCTTCCATGGCGCTATCCATCCATCCATCTCATCCTCTGCCGTCTCCTTCTCAATTTCTGCCTTCAATTTTTCTCAACTCTAGGGTGCTTTCCAGTGAGTCCCGTCTTCCCATTATGTGGCCAGAGTATCTAAGCTTCAGTATCTGACCTTGAGTGACTAGCCTGAATTAATTTCTTTAAATGTTGACTGATTTGACCTCCTTGCTGTCCAAGGGACTCTCAAAAGTCTTTTGCAGCACCCCAGTTGAAAAGTGTCGATTTTGTTGTGCTCAGCTTTCCTCATAGTCCAACTCTCCCAGCCATGCATTTCTTCTGGAAAGACCATAGCTTTGACTCTCCAGACCTTTGTCGGCGGCGGGGTGACGTCTCTGATTTTTAGTCTGCTGTCCAGGCTTGCCCCAGCTTTTCTCCCGAGGAGCGAGCTTCTTTGCACTCCAGGGCTGCAGTGCCACCTGCAGTGATCTCTGGGCCCCAGAGCACAAAGCCTGACGCAGCCCTTGCTTAAGAGTGGCTCTGTCAGACAGACACAGAGGCCCCGGGAGCGTCGGGAGCCTTCGGGCCCAAGTGACGATCGCGTTTCTCTTCTTTCTTTTGCCAGGTGGATGATAACATCCCTCTCCGGGTCATGCTGCTCCTCATGGATGAAGTCTTTGACCTAAAGGAGAGAAATCAGTGGCTGCGAAGAAACATCAAAAACCTGCTGCAGCAGCTCATCAGAGCCGCCTACGGGGACACCATCAATAGGTAGCGCTTCTGGCCTCCAGGGGGCCCCGCCGGCCAGCTTGGGGGGCACGACTCCTCTGCCGCCCCTGCCGGGACATGCCGATATTTCTGACCTGAAGTTTTCTTCTCATCGAGAAATCACTTGTTTCTTCTGCGGCTGCTTGGTGTCTTTCTGGCCTTGGGATTGCTCACTTAAATTTCTTTAATTTCAGAAAAATAGTTGACCATGTGGATTGGATGACTTCACCTGAGCAAGTTGCTGATTCAGTCAAACGTTTCAGGTATCATTAAGATAACTCTTGGGGCATTAACAGTGCAGTGTGATTATCAATAGAGCTCATATTTCTCTTGCATTTTGCAGTGTAAAGAATGCCTTCCTTTATGACAGCCTTGTGAATTAGGGAGTTCAAGTTGTTATTTTCCCCATTTTGCAGATGAGGAAACTGATTCTCAGAGAGGGGAAAAAGGCAGCGACTTGTCCATGGTCACACAGCTAGTAAGTGTCAGAGCTGGGACTTCTGTCCACATCCTCTGACTCCACGTCTAGTGCGCTTTCCTCTAAGAGGAACCATTTTCAGGGGCTTTATTCTTCAGTATCAGGGACAGCAAGTTGAGGTCTGCTTTGGGTTTTTGGAGGGGGGGAGCGGGTTGTTTTTGGTTTTTTGGCTGAAGAGGGGAGTGTCGTTTCAGTTTAATGAGTAACTTCCAATGCTGGTCTTTCTGTGACATTAGTCATAAGAATTCTAAGACTTAACACTGAAACATTCATTTCTCTTTAGTACTTCCTGGATCTAAAAATCGATAGGAAGAGGGTACAGATACCACTCGATGAACATTGTGGAAACGTTGGCTGAATGATATTGCAGGGTTATGGGGGTCACTTGGGTCTTTGGTTTGCTTCACATGCTCAAGGGTTCTTTTGCTTATTCACAGTCATGGAGAGGGGGCATAGATAATTCCAAATGGGAGAGTCAGTAAATCTTTGCTTTGTTGGGAATGCTGTTTTGAATTTGTATTTGTGCCTGCATATTTAATTAAATGGAACTTTCAACACCTCAAATACTGCCACACCCTTTCTTAGAGGGTGTTGAAAATTTTCCGATTTTGAATTTGGGAGTTTGAGAAATTCTCTGAGTCTCCCTTCCCATTCCCCATTCCCCAGGTACCCCTTCAGGTAACCCACAGAAATTGCCTACTCATCGTGCTACCCTCTCATACTACCTTTTCTCTCTGTCTCTGCAATTTCCAAGGAGCTGAGCCTGAGCAGGAAGCATCCGTAGCACAGGATGGGGGCCGTGTCAGGGTGGGCTCAGCCGCACAGCTTCCTCTCCCTGGTCAACAGGTCTTGATTAAGCCCAAGGGCTGGGCAAGATGCCGGGCATACAAAATGGCGCTCAAACCCTATTCTCAGGGGTGGTGGTGCAGGAGGCATGAGATGCAGATGGGAGTCAGTGTGTGATACAATTTAAAATGTGATGAATGTCTAAGAGAGCTCAGAAGGGCCTGAGACATTCGTGGGTAGAAGGGTTCTTTCTAGCTAAGAAGATGTGAGGGAGGGCTGCATGTAGAGGAAGAGGGAAGGCTGTCAGTAGGCAGAGATTTCTTAGTGGGGGGGCCATGTTTGAGGAAAGGGGGATGGCGTATAAAGGCCCAGAGGTAGGAAGCTGCTGGAACAGTGAGTTGTCTGGTTTGACTGGGCGTCCAGTCCACAAAAGGGATTATTAAAGTGAAATACACTATTAAGGGAGGTTAGGGCCTGACGGGGGGAAGAGGCCTTGAATGTTAGGCACAGGAGACAGTCTCTGGCTTCTCTCTGAAGACAGCCCACAGGAAGCACTGTCCTGAGGTTTGGCTGTCTCTGAAGGAAGGACTGAAGAGCCCTCTCTTGATCATCCTCCAGAAGCCAGGATAAAGTGTTGGATGTAAAGCCAAAGGGCCTGGGTTCCAGTCCTTAGCTCTGCCACCTACTATAGAGCTCTATGACCTTGAACAAATCACTTGACTTTCCCAGGCCTCAGCTTTCTCCTCTGTGACACTAGGTCCCTTCATTTTTATGATCTGTGGTTCTGGGCACCATGCCCTCAGGGGAGCGGGGAGGAGAGAGCGGATCTCCCATGGTGCATTTTACAGCTGCACTCTGTAAAGATCAGGGTTGGGGAGAAGAACACTCATCTCCGGGATCGGGGTGCATTTAGCCCCACTGGAAGAGAGATTTTGTGGCATGAAGTTTGGCCGTTGCAGAAGTGCACGGCAGCTTCAGATTCCGTCTCCTGTCAGCACCTGTAGAGTCCGTGCCCAGTGGCACCAAACCCTTTCTTCACATTGTCACGTAGCGACTCTGTGGGAATGACCCCACAGGTTCACTTCCTGAACCGGCCCTTTTGACACTTGGTCACGAGTGCATGCAAGCTCAGGCGCGTGTATAGAGAAGGGGACACACCCCGCCATGTTCCCTGCCGGTTTGTCTGTCAGCCTCTCGAGGGCAGGGATGCTCTGAGCCTTCTCTGCCTTCCTGGGCTGTCCTCTCTCAGAGTCTGGTGGGAACCCAAGGAACATTGAAATGCGTGCTCTCGCACACCTGCGTGTGCACACGCACAAATGGCAATGGATTGTCTCTCCTTGTGTGGATATTTGTCTTTGTATTTTATAAGGAGGCTTAGGATACTTTGGGGGAACCAGCGATGTTCTCGGACATTCATTTTTGTTCCCTCTTTTTGAATAGGGATGCCTTTTGGCCGAACGGCATTTTAGCGGAGACTGTGCCGTGTAGAGACAAGGCTATCAGGATGCGAACCCGGGTTGCGGGTAAAACAAAGCTTCTCGAGATAATGCCTGGTGAGTAGCCAGCTGCCTGGGCTCCTTTAGGCCCACCTGGGTGGGGTGGTGTGCCCTAGCACCTTCCTACTTTGGATCTCGCTGTTCCAAAACTTTACTCTCCAGGCCAGTTTTGTGGGGGCGCGTGATGGGCCGTGAGCTGCGGCTTTGAAGGGAGTGGTCGGTGACATCACTGACCAGGCGGTCTCGCCCTTCTGTGGGAGTTCTGGAGGTGTGCTTGGGATCAGGCTTAGGCTTCAGTCAGTGCTTGTGACTGGCAGGGAAGAAGGGGAGGAGGATGTGAGGAATTCATTCCAGCCTCCTCCTCCAATTAAAAACAGCGTTTCAGGACTCTTGGAGAGGTCCACATCCATGGAAGTACTTGGCTAGCAAATCGTTGGTGAGTCTGCCCGTTAACGAAGGTTTCCCCGAAGGAGTTTGACTCGGCAGTCTTTTGTCGGCTTAGTTTCTTACTGTCTGTCCCGGAAACCAACGAGACTGCAGTTTCAAATGGCATGTCATCATTCAGACAAGACTGTAGTTCAAAATAATGAAGTTTTCTGCAGTTACTGCTTGAATGTTTGCTTTAGCCCCTGGTCATTTATCAGTGACTCCAGCAGGTCCTAGAAGGGTCTCATCTGAATTTTTCCCTGTGATTTTTCCTGGTAGAAATTAGAATGAAAAGACTATTTCATATGTAACACCCAAGGGTGATTATAGGTTTCTAACCAGTATTTTAAAGTTTTTATCACAACGTATAGAGTTACACCTTTGTATGAGATGTAATTTTCCCAACATATTTTTAAAAAAATGATCAAATAGATGGTATCACTGCCCTTGTTTTTTATTGTGTGTTTCAAACCAAAAACGAATCGTAGGAGTTAGGAATTATTCATTCACTCATTCCGTGGCGTGGTGATTATGGTGAAGCAGATAGTCGAGAGGACAGAGTCAGGGGGCCTTGAGGCCAAGAGGCAGCGGATGGCCTCCCACATGTCATGGGGAGAATTGTATCTCATAACAAAGGGGTGCGAAACCTCTTCATCTTCCATTTAACTTTGGAAACTGCCTCCTCCCTCCTTCCCTCCTTCTCTCCCTCTTCAGGACTCACTATATTGGTTCCTGGCTGGGCTACTCTGTCCCTTTTTAGATATCCTAGGGCCTTCCCTCCCCGCTACCTCCCGCCCCCTTGGACAGTCACTGTTTTTGGTGCCAGGCTCCCTGTAAATGCCCAAGCGGTCGCCTTTGGCCCTCCTGCCAAGAGCACAGCGTTCCCGAGCCTCCCTGTGAGTGGTCCTGCGTGAGTTCCCATCTTAGGAGATGGTGCCTAAGCCTCCTCCAAAGTGCCGCTTTGTCACTCCCTCACTCAAAAACCTTTCATGGCTGCTCATGGCCTCTCACATCCAGCACAGATGCCCAGGGCTCCGTTCAGGCCTCTCCCTCGTCTGATCCCAGCGTCCGTTCCAGGCTCGCTGCTGCTCCAGTAAGCTGGCGCTGGTACCAGGTGGGATTGGCCGTGCTTCCCTAGACGGCCCTACTCTCCATCTCCCCTAGTCAGACTCACCTCCTCCATGAAGCCTTCCTACACCCCCCCAGAAGGAGGTGGTTCTTCCTTCCTCCCCCCTGCTGTAGCCTCACCTAGGGTCTTCTCCTAGCACTCTGATGAGGGCGTTTGGTCGCTTGAGCCCGTGCACATCCTGAGGGCCGGGATCGGGCTGGGATCCTTCACGGTGCCTGGCTCAGGCCCTGGGGCTCAGGAAGTTCTCCTGTGTGTTGAGTCCCCGAATGAATGGCGTGTTCATGCGTAGCTGTTAGGAAGCAGCTTAGAAAGGAGGTTCATGTCTGTGATTTTTAAGAGTGAATCCCCCTTCTTCTTCAGATGAGCTGAAGCACATCATAGGCGCTGAGACCACGCGGAAGGGCATTCTCCGTGTTTTTGAGATGTTTCAACACAACCAGCTGAATAAAAGGATGGTCTACGTCTTCTTGGAGGGCTTCCTAGAAACCTTATTTCCCCAGTATAAATTCCGCGATCTCTTCAACAAACTGCATTCGCGGTCCAAGCAGATGAGAAAGTACAAGCAGAGACTACAGACGGGCCAGCCGCCCTCTCTGCAGAAGAGGTGACCCTGCAGGGGACAGCCGGGGTTTGCTTGTCTGGGATGGACGCCGGGAAGGGCCTCGGGGCGCCCCTGCTGGCCGCGGGATCTGCTGCAGTCTTGTAGTGTCACACGTTAGCCCATTAGTGCATCCATGAGACCTGGGGTTCTGCTCATCTTCACCCATTGTCCCGCCGGGACTGCTGCAGACAGACGGGCGTCAGCACGTCTGAGCGCCCCTTTCTGACTGAGGAAGGCTCGTCCAGCCGTGTGCACCAGAGAGTAGGTAGGGGAGGGGCTCGCCACGAGCAGCGGGCTCTCGTCTGGGCACTGAGAGATTGTGCAATGGGGGCGCTCTGTTCTGCATTAGGACTGTGGAGGTCTAGGCCAGCATTTCTGCGAGGGAGGCATCGCCCCGTGAAAGTAGTGCTACGGAACACAGTGCTCCCCACAGCATGGACTGACGGTTAAGAAATCTGATTCTTTCACCCTAATTAACTATACTCTTGTGATATGAAGAAATAAAACTGGGTAACATTAGAATCCGGTCGTATCTGTCATTCAGTGGAATAAGCAGAGTGTCCTTTTTATGTGTAGGATGTGCTTTCAGGGCCCTCGTTAGCTCTGGCAGCCTCATGGACTGGTCCTATTGGGATGGAGAAGGAAGCGTGCTCGGATCCCGTCTTCTTGGGAAAGGGCTGCAGGCCCTCCGTCTCCAGTAGGCCAGTGAGGGGGCCCCAAAGGGCCTCCTGCCCCAGAGGACACAGCAGTGTAGCTTGTTGGAAGAAACACCATGCAGATTTTGTCCTGAAAATGGAAACATAAAAACCCTCACTTGGCAAAAAAAAGTTGTCCTCTTCTCATTTTAATTGATTGGAGTTTCACTTACCACAGTTAGATTGCTAGGTTTGCTACTCACCAAAAAAGATTTTTAATGAACGTCATTTGTCATATGCAAATATACAAATTCCTAAATCCACCACAGTGTACATATATGAAAATAAAGAATGAAAACACAACTATAATATTTTTTTAAATATTTTTTTTATTTTTTGTGTAATGTAAAGTTTAAAAAAACTCTACAAAAATCCCTCAGTCTATCCCTTTAATTCCCTGAAGTAATTCTATACTATGAAGAAGCAAATGTGTACTTTCACTCTTTGGGGGCCTCTGAATAGTTCAGAGTTTTCTTATGCTCCACTTTCTCCACCAGGATTCTTCATCTCTGCCATGAGGGTTGCTCCTGCACAAATATCTATGTTCCCATTAACTGAGAATGGGGGAGGGGGAGAAGTTCTTTTTATGTCTTTCTTTTAATAATATTTAACACTACGAGCTTAAGAGCATGAAGCTATTTACCAGATCACTGAGCCAAGATCCTGGTGGGGATTGAGCCCCCAGGTGACAGCAATATATATGTATGTATGTGTATAGACATATATATATATATATATATATATATATATATATATATATAAAATGTATGTGTGTGTGTGTGTGTGTATATATATATATATGTATGTATGTAAGTATGTATGTATGTATGTATGTATGTGTGTATGTGTATATCTCCAGCTAAGAGAAAGGGTCTAGGCATCCAAGGCCCAGTTATTTGAGAGCTTTAAGGGTGAGAAAACACCCCATGGTAATTTTTTTTTTCTCTCTTAGAATCTTCTTTAAGCCTGTTAACACAATGAAGCCTTTCTTTAAATATTTGTCATAATAATCATGTTTATTGTTGATGTCATCATGCATACTTGCAGTATATGGGAATTCACATATGTTGCACGTCTTCAAAACTGCATAAATGAAATACCCTGAAAGAGAGAAATCCTGAGGACTTGTAGTAGGTTATCTTGTCCTAAGATCAATGGGTTTTCCTCCCTAGGCTTTAAAATAATGATTGGTGAGATGTGTCCATCCATAGGAAGGATCACCTTGGCCACTAGAAAAATGACTTTCATGCCTCCTCCTTCCCATTGTTATTGTGACTATTTTGAAAATAGAAAAGTGAGTTTAGTTCTGTACAAGTGAAAGACTGTTCAAAATAGCCAAGTGTGTATGTGTGAATGATGAACTGTATATGTGAGAGAGATAGGCCATAAACCATAGGAAGATGGTGTCCAAAAATATGGAAAGTAGTGTAGGGCACCCCCTGCCCCCCAAAGAGAACCCGGGTACTATCTCGCCAAAAGATTTTTTCTGAATAAATTGTTTGAGTCACTTTTTACTAAAGAATTTATAGGTAATATTTTCAGAGCAAGAATATTAGATAATAGTTGAGCTGAAGCAGGTGCACCTTCGCTAAAGGGACCTGTGTTCTGGAATTTAGAAAGAGCCACGGTCATGCTAAAATGCTAAAGATCTTCGGGTATCTTGTGTTAACATCTTTAGTCCAAAATCAAGTACAGTGTACCCACATTCATAAAGGCATTGTATTAGTGCATCTATAAATATATACATATATACATATACATATATATATATAAAAGACAATTTGTGTCTTCTGATATTTAATTTCCTAATGCGGTTTTTAAAGTCAGTGGTGCCTTTGGGCAAGAGCTATTGAAAATAATCTCTTTGAGATTCCTGATTTTGTCTTTTGTTGTTGCTGTTCTATTTTGTCTTTAAGACTATACATGATTGAACATAGAGAAAAATCTTCCCTGCCAACTTCTGTATTCTATTACTCCTGGGGAAAAAATGTATAATTACAATACAGCACTTAGACAGACATATTCTAGTATTTGGGTGTTCTGAATAGTTGCTGAAATAATTGTGCCATTGACCAAAAAATGCACTTGGTTAGCCTTAATTTTCTTTTGAAGGAATATTAAACTTTTTAAAATACTTCACTTGGTTTGTTCTCAAGCTTGTGCTGCTGGTGTTTGCTATAATTAAACAGTTAATTTTAAGTGCTACCAGAATGTGTACCAACTTTTTAAAAAGCTAACTATTTAAATTCTACAATCTAAGATTTAATTTTGTGCAATATTTTCATTTAACGCATGTGAATTTGAATAATTGTAAAATAAACGAATTTTTAATGTTTTGAGACATAGGTTAAGCTGTCTTCTTAACCCAACAACTTGCATTTTGTTCTTGCTGCATCTGTTTATTTAAAGACTTGTTTTAAAAGTCTTGTATGTCATGCTCCTTGTAAAATTCTCTTGCATTGGTGAATTTCGCTTGGGGGAGAGTGGCCGCCATGTTCCAAGGGCAAACTCTGCCGAGCACATCTTAGGGACAGAGCTGATAAAAGATGCCTTGTGCGCAATCTGTACAGCCACTGTCAACTGTGTGCCTCATTCTACTATCAGTACTTTCTCCCCTTCGGCAAAGAACAATCAAAACGTCAGCCGTTTATCGAACTGGAAAAAAAAAAGAGTAAAATTTTTATTTGGGGTTTGCATTATGTTCTGTCCATTAGGAAAGCTGAAAAATATTACACTAATAAAGTATTAACAATTTTTTTTGGTTGAGTGTATGTGATAATTGCTGATGTATTGACACCTTAAACGTGTCCTGCCTAACATTATTTACATTCCCTGAAAACACATGGGAGCGGACGTGAAGCTTCGGTGTCCCCCACACGCTTTCATGCTAACGCTACCATGTTTTCATTTCTAATCTAGCAAGCATCGATAGATGTAACCTGCGTCAACAAAAGGCTCTTTGAGGGGGACCTTAATGTTTACAAGTGTAAAGGGGGTCTGTTATCACAAAAAGTGGAGAATTTGGGGGACAGGCATGCACTGTACAGGAGCATACTTCTTTACAGATAAATGCAATAGGGATATGGATAAAATTAACACCTAGTGATTGAGGGAAGGAAGCAGTAACTGCTGGAGGGATCCAGAATCCCCCACAGTTCTGGCTGGCTGAGGCCCTCCAATGCCACGCTAATGCGTCAGCTCGGGCAGGGGAGGAATCAGCACGTTCTGCCTCCCTGCCCCTCCGTGCGGGCTTCCTTTCTTGGACTGAGGCCAGCACTGTATTCTGGCCCTTCCCAGTGCCCTTATCATGAACGTAGTCCTGTAGTTATCCAAGTTTGGGTTGTTCTCCTCATTCTTTGGACTCTGAGTCTGCTTAAATCCATTGAACCAACACCTGTGAAACACTGTTTTTGTGCTGGCCGCCGGGGGTGGAGGTGGGCAAGCAGGAACAGGTCGCAGTCTGCGCCATGAGATCACAGCCACCAAAGGTAAAACGTTACGTGGGAGAGTGTAGCTCATTTTTCCATCCAGTGTGGCCATAAGGCCAAGAAAACATCCAAAGGTTATCTAAAGCAGTCAGTTTGTTAATAATTAGAAAGCATAAAAATTCTCAGTATCTTTGCTAAAGAATGTGTGAACCTCGTTCAGAACGCCGTCCTCTGTTGTCACTGTCCAGATCGGGTCCCCAGAGGAAGCTGGAGGGGAGGGGAGGTGATGAGGATGTGTCAGAGGTGAGACCTGAACCCAGGTTTTCCTGACCAAAGTTGACTTCTTTCCCACTAAATCACTGCCTCTGCTCAATGAAATTGTCCCTCCTCTCTTATAACTGTTGATTGTAAAAGTCTTTATTTGGTTGTGATATCAAGAAGCTGGTTCCATAGGCCAAAGGTGGGTGGCCATGCTACATAGCCCCTCCTAAAGGAGTTAGGTATAGTGAGAGCTGACAGTCCAGTTTGGCAGGAGCACAGCAGACCAAAAGGGAACAACGTGAAATGCATTTGGAAAGGTCGGCTGGATTGAGGTGACGGAAAGAAGCAGATTGGCATTGTATCCTGTTGGTGATGGGGAGTCATTGAAAACTTGGGAGCATTGGAGTGATGTGGTCATACCTGCGCATTAGGAAGATGGTCTGGAAGATGTGGGGAGGACAGGCGAGAGAGAGACCAGTTAGGCGGTTACCGCGGCAGTCTAGGGAGAGGAAGGAAGCATGGGCAGTGTTGTGGAGGCAAGACAGGATTTCCAACTGAGCTGCTTGAGTCAATAAACCTTTATTAAATGTCTCCTGTGTGTCAAGTACTGTGCTATATTCTGAGGATACGAAAAGAGTCACAAAGTGCTGCCCTCAAGGAGCTTCCAAGCAGGTCTGTTTCTCCGCGGCCCAACGTGGAAACCGTTAGCCATTATGTATAAATGCAGTGCTCATGCAGCCTGTAGTGTCACTGAGGAGTTCACATTAATCAGTCAGTCAACATTCACTGTTGCAAAACATAAGTTTTTCTCTTCTAGAATCTGTTATTTTATCAATGCCTCTAGCCCCTCCATCAGTGCAGATTGCAAGGACACCACTGGGGAATGGTTACTGTCCATCCCACTCTGCCCTTGACACTTCCTATGTCTTCAGACGCTCTGGGCCATCTGTCAAACGAGGGGGTTGTACCAGCTGGCGTCCGAGGTCCCTTCCTGCTCTGGACCCAGGGCCTGATGAATTGTGGTTCCCAGAGCCTCCCTTTAAGAGCTCAAACCGTTTACAAAGTCGTCATGTTGAGAGAGGGGGGCCTGCTATATACTCTCTTTGTCCTCTCTGAAAGTGGATCCAGACCAAACTAA